CTTAAACTCCCGAACGGTCAGCGGTGTACAGCTCCAAACCTATGGAACTCAAAATGGACACCATTGAGCCGCTGACCTTCCTTCTCCTGCAATTCATACGAAAGCCGTCCGGTCGGTACTTTCCCTATGTGACCAGTGTTACCCCAGATAGCTATGCCATGGAGCCCATAAGTGTAACGAAAGACTATGTGAAAGACTTTGACTCCATGGCGATTGAACTGTATGTATGTGATCTGAGCGCAATTCGGTAATAATGTGTGCTCAGCAGGGCCGGACTGGCCCACCGGGATACCGGGAAATTTCCCGGTGGGCCGCGGCACCTGGGGGCCGGCCGCGTTCCTGGGCCGGCCCTTTAAATGCTGCAGCCGCCCGAGCGCTCTGTTAAGAGCCTCAGGCGGCTGCAGCTTCTCCCCTCCCCCCCCCTCCCCTGTAGCGTGGCCGAGCTGCTTGCTGGTCCGCGGTGGCCGGCCGGAGTGATAGGAAGGCGCACACTGAGTGTGCACTTCCTGTCAGTCTCGCGGTTACAGGAAACAGAAACCCCGCGCGGAACAGGAGTTTCTGTTTCCTGTAACCGGCCGGACTGACAGGAAGTGCACACTCAGTGTGCACCTACCTATCACTCCGGCCGGCCGGCCACCGCGGACCGGAGTGCAGCTCGGCCACGCTACAGGGAAGGGGAGGGGAGAAGCTGCAACCGCCTGAGGCTCTTAACAGAGCGCTCAGGCGGCTGCAGTATGTAAAGGGCCGGCCCAGGAACGCGGCCGGCCCCCAGGTACCGCGGCCCACCGGGAAATTTCCCGGTATCCCGGTGGGCCAGTCCGGCCCTGCAGACCACTTCATTAAGCTGAAGTGGTCTGGGTGCCTATAGTGGTCCTTTAATACTCTGCATGGTCCTCTACACAGTAGGCCATCTGTGAGAGGGGTGTGCTTGATGCCAGGCTCACACATACCTTCAGTGGGTGGTCATGCCTTCTTTCTAACTGGGCCCGCCCATTTAGGGGCATCACCTATGATGCAATTTGTATCATTGGTGAGGCCCGTACAGAAGGCCTGTCCTGACTCCAGCTGTTCCAAACTTGGTAGGTATTAATATGTAATTCACTAAACTAGGGACCTGGGAATTGCATACATAAAGTTAGCCAAACTGGAGTAACATAGTCAAGCTTTTTTTTTTTCTTCCAAATGTGGCTAATTTAGTGTAAAAATGTTAAAAAAAAATTCATCCCAGCAATTCCTGGTTTAGTGCATAACATGACTTTTCTATAAAGGTTATTCACTAAAGTGTGAATGATCAGAAATCAAATTTTAAGCCACAAAAGCCAAACTAGTAAATAATGTCCAAGTCAGCTTTGTATCCAGGTCTTCTATTTCTGTTTAAAATGCACTTTGAGTTGCAGAGTTTACATTTCAGTGAATATAGGGTGCAAGTTATATCCCTTCATTGCTAGAAAGCTGTCCAAATGTTTTAGCTGTCTCTTATCCTTATCTGTGTTTATTTGATACTTAGCTGCAAGTTCAGCTGATTGCAACACAGAAACCTAGCTATTAATAGCCAAACTCACCCTTACCATCAATACAACTTGTATAACACAGACTTGTTTATGGCAGAATATCTGTGTTTCACTGGACCTTAATTTAGCTGCTCCTGCTGACACATTGCCTTCTGAAATGTCATCTTACTCAGCTGAGCTAGACCTGAATGTGGCCGAGAGAAGCAGAAGTATATATACATATTGGTGTTACGTTTGCTGCCCTATGGGATCAACAGTGGTAAACCAGATCATGTTATAAAGGAGAAGATGGTACATAAACTCTTAAAGTGCACAGAGCACTCTATAACTGTGTAGGAGATAGGACCATGCAAAGAGGGGCAAGCTGAGCCTAGAGTACAGACCTGTACAAATCTTCTCAATAGACGGTTTTGTTTTGCATTGAATTTTGGAAAGCTAAGGTTCCAATTGAACTTGGGATTTGCTTCAGCCCTCAGCATCAGTGAGCAGGTTGAAAGATAATTAGGTTCCACAGAAGGGGTGACCAAACATTGGACCCACAGCTGTTGCCTACAATGCTTTGACAACCTAATATTCTATTTTTTTTTTCTTATTATGAGTTAGCCCTCAAAAACAACAAATTTTGGTCATGTGTCCAAATTCACCTTTAAGTTACGATCTTATTCTGTTCCTTATGTGGTCCAGGATGACAGATCTGCTCATGGCATATAATATGAAAGCATCAAAAGTTCTTCAGGCGGAGGATGTGATGCAATTTTCTGACTACAGCTCCATCTGCTGAAACAAAGATGTGGCGCTTTCATTGCACTACAAGGGGCTTGGACATTCAATGGATCTTCTTCTAATGCGTCATAGAATATCCCTTCCGGCCCCTGTGTATTTTCATGCATCTGTCGCTATTTGCCTGTCTGGGACCTTACCTGACCTTGGAACTGATCAGCACTACTAATTAGGTGTCCTATAAAGTATCATGTCTGCAGTTTTAGGAATGATAAGCTTTTACTAGGTTTTACAATTTCCATCACCTTCTGATGTTCTCTAGTTTGTACACATTACATCTACTGTGGATGGAATTCATTTGCACATTAAGGACTTAAAGGACTGCTATAGTGCCAGGAAAACATACTCGTTTTCCTGGCACTATAGCGCCCTGAGGGTGCCCCCACCCTCAGGGTCCCCCTCCCACCGAGCTCTAGGGGGAGGAAGGGGTTAAGCTTACCTCTTTCTCCAGCGCCAGGCGGAGGACTCCGCCTCCTCGGCTGAATGCGCAAACGCGGCAGGAGTCACGCGCGCATTCAGCCAGTCCATAGGAAAGCATTCACAATGCTTTCCTATGGACACTGGCGTCTTCTCACTGTGATTTTCACATTGAGAAGCGCGGAAGCGCCTCTAGCGGCTGTCAATGAGACAGCCACTAGAGGCTGGATTAACCCTATTATAAACATAGCAGTTTCTATGAAACTGCTATGTTTATAGAAAAAAGGGTTAATCCTAGCTGGACCTGGCACCCAGACCACTTCATTAAGCTGAAGGGGTCTGGGTGCCTATAGTGGTCCTTTAATCATAAATAATAACACAGATAACCTCAGGCATATGTAATTTGCATGTGAAAAACAACATGAAGGGGCAGCTATATCACGGACACTGTTGCAGGCTAATTCAATTCTAAAATTGGTACTTCTATCTCAGATCCTATCCAGTCCTTCCCACTTATGGGGCAGACTTCGATTTTATGCCAGAAATTGACTTGGGATTTCAGGATCTCCATTTACTGGATAGATGAGTGGGTGGACAGACAGACAGCATCAGTTGAAGGTGAGAAGCTGTTCAATTTCAATTTTGACACAATGCTATATGTAAGTATGTAGTAGCTGATAATTACCACCCTGGAATAGGATAAATTATATGTAGTTACATAGGTTGAAAAAAAAGACGTGTCCATCAAGTCCAACCAAGTTTGAAGCGCTTTTCAAATTTTCAAACAAATTAGGGGGGACAATTCCTTCTTGACCCCAGAAAGATCTCTCCTGGCATCAAGCAGCGGTTACCTCACCTACTGAAAAATATATCCCTGAATATTATGTTTTTGCAAGTATTCATCAGGTTGCTGTTTAAACATCAGTGCAGACTCTTTTAATAAAACGTTCAGGCAGAGAATTCCACATCCTTGTTTTTCTTTCTTATCAATTAATCAATTATTACCCAACTGAGGAAGCCTACACGGCACAACACGTTTTGGGAGCCTGGAGAATATATTAATATTATACTGCTTGTTAAAAAAAAAAAAAAAAGTTGAATAAAGTATTCTAACAAAGTATACTTTTAATCTACTTCTGGCCATCAAATTCATGCATACCAAGGGAATAGGTGCTATGGCCCAGAACCATACAGAGCACATCTTCTGAGTCACTTGAGGCTCTCTTTGTATTTGACCTTTCTCATGTATGGTAAAATTTCCTAAAGCAATATTACCCTATGTACATACCCTTTTAAGATTACATACAGTTATACTGGGGAGAACAACTACATTGGTAACACATATCTGCCAAGAGGGGAGGGCTTGCCCATACGGATTCAAAAGCTTCTAATACCGGAGCTAGGTCTTACAGCTCTCTTATATGCGTGTTCCATTGTTATGGTTTTATATTACATGGTATAAAATATTTTTTACATTATTTTTGAAGGTATACAACACAATTTATAATGGAATTTCTGCAGATACGTTTTTAGTTCCTAGAAGTACTTTATTTGTTGTATTTTTTTTTTATTTAAATAGTTTTCAGTTATTTTTGTTTTTTTATTTGTCATCAAAAGTGCTTCAACATTAGCAAAATAGGTTGGTACACACAGGTACCTGTAAAAGTCAAACAGAACATTAATCTGGCTATAGGTACTTTATTTGTCTATGTTTATCATACTCACTGGTAATATAGTTCTCCACTGTATGTTGTTGTTTGTGAAAAGATCTGGGTGACTTCCACAAGGCCAAATAGTGATGGCCAGTCAACTGGGTCAGAGCATTTTCAAAACAGGAAGTCTTGTGGGGTGTTCCCGGTATGCAGTGGTTGGTACCTTCCAAAAGGGGTGCAAGGAAGGACAAACGGTGAACTGGTGTCAGGGTCATGGGCACCCAAAGCTCATTGATGCATGTGGGGAACAAAGCTGGTCCGATCACATAGAAGAGCTACTGTTGCTCAAATTGCTGAGAAACTTAATGCTGGCAATGTTAGAAAGCTTGACAGAACACACAGTGCATTGAACTTTTCTGCATATGGGGTTGCGTAGCTGCAAATAGGTCAGGGTGCCCATGATGACCCCTTTCCATTGTCAAAAGCATCTTCAATAGGGATATGAGCATCTGAACTGAACAATGGAGAAATGGGGGAAGGTCTGATGAATAAAAATTTTCTTTTAGATCAGGTGGATTGCCGAATGCATGTGCATCATTTACCTGTTGAAGAGATGGCAGCAGGATGCAGTATGGGAAGAAGGCAGCCCGACGGAGACAGTGTTATTTAGCGAATGTTGTGCCAATTCACAAGAAACGAAGTAGGGAGGAGTCAGGTAACTACAGGCCAATAAGACTTACTTCAGAAGTGGGAAAAGTACTAGAAACCATGTTAAAGGATCGGATTGTTTAACATCTAAAATCACATGGATGTCAAGATCAGAGACAACATGGGTTTACTTCAGGGAGATCATGCCAAACTAATCTAATTGATTTTTTTGATTGGATAACTAAAATAATAGATCAGGATGGTGCAGTATAAATTGCTTACCTAGATTTTAGTAAGGCTTTTGACACTGTTGCACATAGAAGGCTTATCAATAAACTGCAACTTTAAGTTTGGATTCCAATATTGTTGAATGGGTAAGGCAGTGGCTGAGTGACAGGCAACAGAGAGTTGTAATCAATGGAGTATATTCGAAGCATGGTCTTGTTACCAGTGGGGTACGTTGGGGATCTGTACTTGGACCCATTCTCTTTAATATTTTTATTAGTGATATTGCAGAAGGTCTTGGTGGTAAGGTATGTCATTTTGCTGATGATACAAAGATTTGCAACATGGTGTCACGGTACTTACCATGAAACCCAGACGGCCAGACGTGGTTACCAAAGAAGTGCCCAACAGGGGATTTGAAACTGGGTACTTTGCTGTCCTAGACCTGCTTTACTGCCTTTAAGCCACAGCAGTTCCTATTCCTTGGAGTATTTCTAGCCCTGTTCTACCTGGCTATGTCTGCAGCACTGGGGGCTGAACTTTTTCTGTGGTCATCGCCTGTGCTTCACCTGAGACAGATCAGTAATCAGCTGGGTATATAAGCACTGGCTCGTCCTGGGAACGTTATCAAGTCTTTGATCCTGGTGTATGTATTCAGTTCCTGTGTTCCAGTCTCTTGAACTTATACTCCATATTGACCCCGGCTTCTGTCTTCGTTTATCCTGATCTCTGGCATCCTTTGACTGGCATTGGAATCACCTTTCCTGCACAGCCTCAGTGCACAGATTCACAGTCCAGGTGGATTCTTACCTGGTCATCTTGGATATCTGCAAGGGTGTGCAAATATATCTGCGCTACAAACTCCAACCTCAGGTAAGAACCCTGGCACATGGTTGATGTTCCAGGAGGGATAAGCAAAATGGAAAATGATTTAGGTAAACTAGAAAAACTGTTAGAGCTGTGGCAACTGACATTTAATGTGGATAAGTGCAAGATAATGCATCCTGGGCGTAAGTACCCAAGAGCAGAGTATAGAATATTTGATAGAGTCCTAACCTCAACATCTGAGTAAAAGGTAATTATTTCTGATGACTTAAAGGTAGGCAGACAATGTAATAGAGCAGCAGGGAATGCTAGCAGAATGCTTGGTTGTATAGGGAGAGGTATTTGCAGTAGAAAGAGGGAAGTGCTCATGCCATTGTGCAGAGCACTGGTGAGACCTCACTTGGAGTATTGTACGCAGTACTGGAGACTGTATCTCCAGAAGGATATTGATACTTTAGAAAGAGTTCAGAGAAGTTCATGGATTGCAGGGTAAAACTTACCAGGAAAAGTGATGTTAAGAAGTATAGCTTGGAGGAAAGACGAGACATGGTTGATATGATAGAAATATTTAAATACATAAAGGGAATCAACATAATAAAGGAGAGTATATTTAAAATAAGAAATACTACCACAACAAGAAGACAGTCATAAATTAGAGGGGCAAAGGTTTAAAATTAATATCAGGAAGCATTACTTTACTGAGAGGGTAGTGGATGCATGGAATAGCCTTCCAGCTGAAGTGGTAGATGTTAAGAGGGAGTTTAAGCATGCATGGGATAGGCATAAAGCTATCCTAGATATAAGATAAGGCCAGGGACTAATAAAAGTATTTAGAAAATTGGGCAGACTAGATGAGCCGAATGGTTCTTATCTGCCGTCACATTCTATGTTTCTATGTTTATGCTCTAGGCAATGCTTCAGTGTATCTGCATGGGTACCTGTGTGTCTGCATGTGTCAGTGTGTGTATCTGTGTCTCTTTGTATCTGCATGTGTGTCAATGTATGTACAGTGAGGGAAAAAAGTATTTGATCTCCTGCTGATTTTGAGCGTTTGTCCACTGACAAAAATGATTAGTCTATAATTTTAATGGTAGGTGTATTTTAACAGTGAGAGACAAAAAAAAAAAACATTCCAGAAAAACGCATGTTATAAATTGATTTTCATGTCAATGAGTGAAATAAATATTTGATCCCCTGTCAATCAGCAAGACTTCTGGCTTCCAGGTTTCTTTTAAGCAGCTTGGTGAGAAGGTAACAACAGTTGGTGCGATTATTCGCAAATGAAAAAAAACACAAAATACAAAACACAAAATAACTGTCAGTCTCCCTCGGTCTGGTGCTCCATGCAAGATCTCACCTCGTGGAGTTTCAATGATCATGAGAATGGTGAGGAGTCAGCCCAGAACTACACAGGAGGCTCTTGTTAATTATATCAAGGCTACTGGGACCATATTCACCAAGAAAACAATTGGTAACACACTACGCCATAAAGAAACTGAAATCCCGCAGCGCCCACAAGGTTCCCCTGCTCAAGAAAGCATATGTACAGGCCCGTCTGTTTGCCAATGAACATCTCAATGATTTAGAGGAGAACTGGGTGAAAGTGTTTGAATTCAGATGAGACCAAAATCTAGCTCTTTGGCATTAACTCAACTCACCGTGTTTTGAGGAGAAGGAATGCTGCTTATGACCCCATTATGCTTTGGGGGTATTTTTCTGCTAAGGGGACAGGACAACTGCACTGCATCAAATAATGAGAACCTCTTTCCCTTAGCCAGGGCATTGAAAAATAGGTTGTGGATGGGTATTCCAGCATGACAATGACCCAAAATAAACAGCCAAGGCAACAAAGGAGTGGCTCAAGAAGAAGCACATTAAGGTCCTGTAGTAGCCTAGCCAGTCTCCAAACCTTAACTCCATAGAAAATCTGTGAAGGGAACTGAAGATTCGAGTTGCCAAAGGTCAGCCTCTAAATCTTAATGACTTGGAGAGGATCTGCAAAGAGGAGTGGGACAAAATCCTTCCTGAGATGTGTGCAAACCTGGTGGCCAACTACAAGAAATGTCTGACCTCTATGATTGCCAACAAGGGTTTTGCCACCAAGTACTAAGTCGAAGGGGTCAAATACTTATTTCACTCATTGACATGCAAATCAATTTATAACTTTTTTTTTTTATAAATTGTTTATTTTTCGTGCATGGGTTAATGTAACAAGTCTTCATGTCGTGCCACAACAGCAGTAACATGTATTGAAATAGACATAACAATATAACAGTTGTGGCATAGTAAATTGGTGCACATTTTTGTATAAGGGTTATCAAGAGAAAACAAGATGATAGTCAATAGTGCGACAACATATCAAGTAATAAACATATCAGGCTATTCCGGCTGACTATATGAGTGTAGCTTGCGAGATTAATCGAGTGTTGTGAATGTGACATAGGTTAATAATTAGCTCGCTATGTGAGGTGTCAGAGCTTCATGGGATTTAGTCCTAGGCTATGTGCTTCTATGTGGTCTGCAGGTACTGTAATGAGTTAGAGAGAGCTTAACATGCACATGTGTTATAGACATGGTTGTAGTGTTGTACCATATATCTATGTTAAACAACGCCAAGGGTGCAGTGTCCTATAGTGTAGTGTTGGGGGATAAAGAGCATGCGACTGGGGGTACATTAAGTGCTGTGATAAAAACACACTGGCGTCAACTAAGTAAACTGAACTTTAGTAATTTATAAAGAGAGACATCAGATGGTAAGAAGCAGGATAGCATTCGTTTTGTGGAGGTTGCACGCCATATCCTTCAGTTGACCGTGGGTGGGGTTGGTGGCCCTTGAGTTCTTGCGGTTGGGACATTTTAGCTGACACCTGCCCGTGGGTTCACAAAGTCCTGTAGCCAGATTATGTGCTGCAGGTTGAAGTGTTGTGGCCCTTGTTTGGGCCAATGTAGCCCGCCGGGGCGTAGGGGGAGTGAGTCTAGTGATTGCATACCTCGCTCCCTCTGGTCTGCAGGATCAAGTCCGCTTGAACAGTGGGTAGTGGAGGTATTTTGCCCCTTTTTGTGCTGCCTGTTTCTTGTGCCATGCGGTCACAGAGGTCTCTGCTGATTCCCAGCTTCTCGATGTGGTAGACTTCGGTGTGTACTCAGAGCAGCTGCAGACTGGTCGCGCTTCGGCCGCATCGATGATCTTTGCTTTGCCGTTGTGCCTGCCGGTAACACCCTTTGTGGGGGGGTGCTCGCAGTAAACCAGAGCGCTGATGGCGAAGTGTTCGTTTGCGGCTTGTGCTGTGCTTCAGGGTGAGTCCTCGGTCTCTTGTGAGTCCGGGCTGGCCATCTGCCCGAGTAGTAGGGCCCGTGGGTGAGGTGTGCTCTTGATTTGTCGCTGTCCCGTTCTCCGCTCCTTTACCTCACGCGTTGCAGGGGATGACGGTTGTGCCAGACGCTGGTACAGTTTGAAAACAGAATATAAAAAAGAAGAAGGGCTGCGCCAAACTAAATAAACAATATTCAGTCCAAATAATGGTAGTGGTATAATAAAAGTCCAACCTAAAAAAGTGTCCTCTCTGTCGTCCTAGGGTACAGGAACAGGGTCTTCAGGTATAATATAAAAAATAAAAGGAGAGAACAACCGATAGTGCAGATTGTATGTATCAAGCGGAGAAAAATTCAAATAATAGTAGCAAACTAACAAATCTTTAGAGCTTCTGTCCAGCTCTAGGGTAAAGCGCACACAGCGGTATAATCCCCGCTTATGGGATATGTGGTGAGTGTCAGTTCTTCAGTGGTATCCAGAAGCTCAAAGAGAACAGAAACAAGCCAGATAGTGCTCTCTGTATGGGTGTATATATTTCTACCTACAATATACACCCATACAGAGAGCACTATCTGGCTTGTTTCTGTTCTCTTTGAGCTTCTGGATACCACTGAAGAACTGACACTCACCACATATCCCATAAGCGGGGATTATACCGCTGTCTGCGCTTTACCCTAGAGCTGGACTGAAGCTCTATAAAATTGTGAGTTTGATACTATTATTCATATTTTACTTCGCTTGATATATACAATCTGCACTATCGGTTGTTCTCTCCTTTTATTTTTTATATTATACCTGAAGACCCTGATCCTGTACCCTAGGACGACAGAGAGGACACTTTTTTAGGTTGGACTTTTATTATACCACTACCATTATTTGCACTGAATATTGTTTATTTAGCTTGGCACAGCCCTTCTTTTTTATATTCTGTTTTTATCCTGTATTTTAGAGTTTTAGGGGGATTCCCTTTCTCAGGTTGCTGCCTAATAGGTTCATTGGCGCTGTCTCTCTCTTTTATTTATTTATTGCTGGTACAGTTTGGCCCAGAAGTTGGCAAATATCATGTCCAGGCGTTTGTGCGCTTCTTCCTCATAGTTCCATCCTTGATGAGGAGGCGCTGGCCCAGTTGACCAAGATGCGGCCGCCATTTTGTTCGTCCAGGTGCCGTTTCCATCGGCACCCGGGCGGGTGACAAGATGCGGTGTAGCCGTGTGCTCTGGGTTGATGGGGACCGGGATGACCCCCGCCGGTACATGGGGGGGGAGGGGGTAAGAACGGGGTTCCACAAGGTCATGTCCAGCTGGGTATGTTGGTCTGGGAGCAGCCGTCTCCCTTGCACCATCCATGCTGGTAGGCCGCGGCTTCTGAGTTCGTGGGTCTGGTGAGTTACACTACATATTTGGTATCTCCTTATAGCTTCCCCGGTCCTCTGTCATTTGGGTTACAGATTAAGTCCAGTTCTGGCCTCTGTCAGTGTGGATTGCAACAGATTGGGCTTAGTAGTGCTGGAGCCTCAGACAAACATGTCTGCTCAGCTCTGCTGTCAGGCCCCGCCCCCAATTTATAACTTTTTTGACATGCTTTTTTCTGGATATTTTTTATTTTTGTTATTCTGTCTCTCACTGTTAAAATACACCTACCAATAAAATTATAGACTTAGAATCTCCTTGTCAGTGGACAATCATTCAAAATCAACAGGGGATCAAATACTTTCCCCCTCACTGTATCTGCACGTCTGTCAGTATGTGTGTGCGTATCTGCATTTTTGTGTGTGTATCCCTTTGTCAATGTAACCGAATGCCTGTCAGTGTGTGTATCGGTTGGTCTGTATATCTGGCACGTGTGACAGTTTTTTTGTGTCTGCATGTGTGTGTGTATTAATTCATTATTTTTTCCCCCCCTTCTTCAATTTAAAATACTATACTGGGCATTATTTGCAAGGTTTCCACAAAAGAAATGTGGTGAAAAGTATTTAAACTTTCCTAAAATACAGCGCCGGGCTAAGCTGCCAGCAATCCTCTCCACGTCTCCTTTAAAGTCAGAGGCTCTATTCTGCTTCAAAGAGAAGCATTTGATTGGGCTATTATCAACTGCTCTGAGCACGTTGCTTGTAGCCAGTGAGGGGAAGGAGTGGAAAGGTTGACGGGGAGGCCTCCAATTGTTTAAGAAAAAAAATTCAAATCTACAAAACAGAGGTGGGGAGGTCTGGAAAGAACTGCACAGAAGAAACGAGAGAAGAGCAAGCTTACTAGTTGGGGAGAAGCTGAGCTCATCTGTCACCAGGGATGATGACAGACTTGTTTTTTTTGCACAGAATTGACAGTAGGTGACTACCTAAGTCACATGTATCACTAACCTCCGAACACAAGTGAAAATATCTTTGAATGTGCAGCTTTTAAAACAAACACTGCCCATATAGACAGGGCCGGACTGGCCCACCGGGATACCGGGAAATTTCCCGGTGGGCCGTCGGCACCTGGGGCCGGCCCTTTAAATACCGCAGCCGCCTGAGCGCTCTGTTAAGAGCCTCAGGCGCCTCTCTTCCCTCCCCGCCAGCACTTGGTTTGAGTGATAGATAGGCATACCTGCACTACCTGTCTGTCAGTCGGCCACAGGAAACAGAAACCTGTCTGCTGAGTTTTTAACCGGTCAGACAGGAAGTGCACAGTGTGCACCTTCCTATCACTCCGCCACCGCAGGACCGAGTGCAGCTCGCCACGCCTACAGGAGGGGAATAAGATGGGGGGAATAAGAAGAGGGGAGGGGGGAATAAGAAGAGGGGAGGGGGGGAATAAGAAGAAGGGGCAGCTCTATAGGACAGGGGCCAAGACAGGGAGCTCTTTCACACTACGCGCGCACACACACAATGCATCCCTATACATACACAGAAACACAACATGCTTCCCTTACACACAGAGAAACACACACAATGCAACCCTTACACACAAAGACAATGCATCCTTTGCACACATACACAGAAACAGACAATGCAAACCCTTACACACGCATGCAAACACACACACTTCTTTTCTTACATACACACAGAAACACAATGCATCTCATGCACACACATACAGACACACACCTTGCATCCCTTATGCATACAAAAACAGATTCACACAATGCATCCCTTACACACAACCAGAAACACATAATACATCCCTTATACACAAATACACACTGCTTCCACTACACACAAACACACCATCACCTGCACAAACTGGTAACCCTATACACTACATACCATAAGCACACATATTAGATCCTCTACAATAACACATAACACATCCCCTACACACTCCACTCCCTGTGAGCGAACTCATGGGTGGGTGGAACTTATGAGTGGGCCTTATGGGCATACTCACCGTCAGGCCCTGGGGCCCAGACCTTGAGCTGTGTAAGGGCCCCAAAAAAATTGAGCTGCTTCCAATTCTCCCAGAACATTGAATTTTGTGACCACAGTTGCAAACAGCCTCCAGAGATCCTGTTCTACACCAGACCAGTGGAGCCAAACTGCAGCCCATCATCATCCTCATCTGCTTGTAAGTAGGCAATCTAGTATATTATTAGTGATACTAATCTATAATTTACCTCACATTAAAGGGACACTATAGTTTAATGAAGTGGTTCTGGTGTCTATAGCTGGTCCCTGCAGGCTTTTTAATGTAAACACACACTGTGTGCAGCACTGGCGTTAGTTCATATGGCAGATCATATGGGTGGGGCATTGTGATGTGACATGTGGGGGCAGCAAATTTTATTTTGTCTAGGGCGGCAAAAATCCTTGCACCGGCTCTGATCCTGGGCAGGTGCACCAGTCTACTTGACTGGTTTTGCCCCCCAGGCCTAAGGCTGCCAGCCCTCTCCTGGCCGCTGGGGAGGTCTTTTGGCGGCCGCTGGCGGACTTGTCCTGGCGGCCGCTGGCGGACTTGTCCTGGCGGCCGCTGAGGGAGCTGCGCGAGCTGCGCTGGCTCTGCTCCCCAGCACGCAGCTGAATGAGACCGGCGCCGGAATATGACGTCATATTCCGGCGCCAGTCTCATTCAGCAGCGCGCAAGGGCGGGAGGGCACTAACACAGGAAGCACCTCTAGTGACCGTCTGAGTGACTGTCACTAGCAGTGTCACTTTAAAGCAATGTAAACACTGCCTTTTGTCTGAAAAGTCAGTGTTTACGTTGAAAAGCCTGTAGGGACATGCTATAGACACCAGTACCACCACATTAAGCTGTGTGTGTGTATCAATGAGCTTGTGTGTGTCACTGAAATGTCAGTGAAATTGCCTGTGTCTGCATGTGCGTATGCTTACTGTATAATTAAACATTTTACCCTGAAAGGACCAATATTTTATATTAGAAAAAGCAATATATATATTACTCAATCATCTGTCCTGGCAAGACATAGCCTTACATATTACACGCGCCAATATATGGCGCAGTGACTTATGGGGCTGGCACAAATTTTTTTTCCAGGGCTGCTTTGTATCCCCAGTCCGGCCCTGCATATAGACCTCTACCACACTGAACACTTCTAAAAGCAGAAATGTTCATGGCGGCTGGATTAACCCTTTAAGGCCAAAGTAGGTGAACTGGAAGTTTAGAACCAGTTTGGTAATTATGGCCATAACCTTGAAATTCACTTTCCTATGTGACTGGCTGAATGCACGCGCAGCTCTTGCCGTGCGTGCGCATTCAGCCGACGGGGCGGAACGGAGGAGGAGAGAAGGAGGAGAGCTCTCCGCCCAGCGCTGGGAAAAGGTAAGTTTTACCCCTTTTCCCTCTTCCAGAGCCGGGCGGGAGGGGGTCCCTGAGGGTGGGGGCACCCTCAGGGCACTATAGTGCCAGGAAAACGAGTATGTTTTACTGGCACTATAGTGGTCCTTTAAGTTTGTCCATGTCCTAAATTATATAATTGGAGTTGTTATTTCAGTAGAACAGGGAACTCGGGGCTAACAATACAATTACAAATTAGATCCGGGAGTTTCCAGGACTTCTCTCGGGACTCCAGTCCCTGCCATCCCCTCCCCATCAAACAACCCTGCTGAGAGCAGCAACCTAACATTTTAAAAGCCCCCTCTCTTTCCTACTGCCTAGAGTTGAACGGACTTCTGCATTGAAAGAGCCAGACTGCAGGTGCCAATTTATTTGTCAAACTGCTCAATAGTTTGACAAAAAACGTTATCCTTATTCATGCAAGCCAAACCACCAACTTTTGTAGTAAACCTTTTCAATATATTTGCCACTATTTCAACCAAAGATTTATGACCTGTGGCCTGTTATAATTTATGGATGAAGGACATCCAGTATCTCCTCTGTATATACTCAGCCTGAACAAGAGAATGCTTTATTGCCTGACAGCAGCTGTCCTTGGATCAATTGTCTCGAGAGGGGTCAGGTTTCCCCAACAATAGCTATTGTTATCTGTCACAGAAAGATCTGCAACAGATGTGTCCAGTGTGCCTTTTATTCAACCTTTAATTAACTCAGGACTGTTTAGCGAATAACATGCGTATGACTAAGTTTCCTTCTTACATGTTTATTTTTGGAAAGAGAACATTCTGTTAGATCCCGGTTTCATTAGGTTATGAATTATATATAGTGTGGGGCAGCACTTTTCAAGTACCAACATACAAAATGTGGTAAGATGCTGTTAGATGACAAAATATGAGATAAGAAGGCAACATGAGTCTTTATAGTCTGTAAGAACAGAGCACAAGCCCTGCAGGGGTAAAATGGGAACACAGGGCTCTGCAGGTGGAAGAGAGGCAGCACAATGCTCTGCAGGAGGCATGAAGCAGTATAAAGCGGTGCACAAAAGGTTTAAAAGCAGAATGTTCTGCGTCAAATATGAGGCAGCTCAAGACGCCACGGAGGTGATAATTCCCTACACACAGAACTGTAGTAAATTGAAATTACAAAAATGAGGCAAAAACAGCTGATTTGGAGACATTTTCAAACTCAGCTATAGTCACTGCTTACCTGTTTTTGGTCCAAATCTTGCCATTCAGTTCTCTGTTTGCTATAGTTCAGTGTTAAGTGACTAAATAGCAGTTTACAAATGAATAAAAGCTGAGTCTGGATGCTGATTTTCTTACAATGCAATACATATGTGGTACCCAGCAACTCACTGGCCCAGGCCAGAGACACATGTAAAGGCTTGTCATTATTTCAAGTTCTGAATTTACAAAGTTAGTCCATGCAAAGCTTAACAGACTGTACAGACAGGACTGGCCCAGTGCCCAGGAGGTGGATTCCTTTGCAGAGCATAGCTTCCATGTAAGGGGAAAATACACTTTATTTATCTTTATATATATTGGCTCTCTTACCGGTGCCCTGCCCACTCTCTATATAATAATTAAATATACACTAGCAGCACTTCTGAAACTCCAAAGGACTTATTTACTACACATTCATTTGTGACCTTAACGATGACCCCAAAATGCCACCAAAGATTGCTGCCAGATCAGATTTGCCTAAATTTCTTTTCTTTAAGAAGAATACACCAATATTTCAGTAGGATGCCCATATATGGCCTAGTAATTAGCCATTATAAACAATGATGTAATGGAAGAATTAACCCTTGCAACAGTTTATCGCAGGATCATCTACATTTTACAACATTCTACAGACTGATGCAACAAAGTCCCTCTACACCTCTTTAATTCATCAGGAAAAGCTTGCTTCTATAAATCTCCAAACATGAAATCTGAGATACATGGGACACAGTAAAGTTTTGGCTTGTCACCTCTGATCATGCAACACACCAGAAATAAACTGCAACTTACAAAGACACCACTCCCGGGAGCTCTATGCAAGTCAGAAAGAACCTGCTCTAGTAGAGAGATGAATTCTGCCCAGAATGTGAAAAAAGAAAAAACATTGAGATAATCAGAACTCAGCGAGGTAAATCAAGCTAGCATGCTGCACGCTGATGGCTTTAACATCTTGTAACATTAAGATTTATTGACTGAACTGGGATTTGTGAAGAAATGACAAGGGAATTGCATGTTCGGAGTCAAATTATCTTAATTGAAAAAGTTCTCAGCTGCTTTTGTGTTTAACCTGCAATTTTATTGTCGGTTCTCCACAGATCCCAATATGCACAGTTATTAGTTAGTTGTGAACTGATGAATTTAAAGTGAATTTCAAAGTTTAAGGATAATTTAGTCACAATTAAATAAAATCCAAGCCTGGTATGTTTCTACTTCAGGTATTTTGGCCTAAAATTTTAACTCATTTTAATTTCCCGACAATGTGCACTTTGGTGAATATCTCTATTAGTGATTTAGTGAATAATAATGACGGTAATGTAGGATTCCGCTCTGTTTAAGGATTCATAGTTGTCCGTCGTTTGTTTATGTTATAACATGTCCTTATAACAGGCATAGGCAACCTTCGGCTACCCAGATGTTTTGGACTACACCTCCCATGATGCATTGCCAGCATTACGGGTGTAAGAGCATTATGGGGGATGCACTCCAAAACATCTGGAGTGCCGAAGGTGGTCTATCCCTGCCTTATACCATGTCCTATAACTCAGCAGTTCCTTTCCTGGTTTAGTGAACAGATTGTTGAGTTTGATGAACCCATTTTTCCAGCAATGGATTCATATTTTTTCAGCGAATCATTAGCCTATTGTGAGGTGCCAGGAAGCTTTATATATAATACTTGCTATTATGTTGTATACACGATTTACCTATGTAGGTGTGTGTGATACATGTTCTCTTATATAATATTTCTTATATAATATTAATGTTACAATTTACAAAAGGTTTTTCCAACTATTTTTCATTATCATTAGAATAATACCCTATTGGCATTATTGAATATGTCTTCCCCTACAAAAATGCAATTTAAAATCAAGTTTTACTCATCTTACTGCAGAACCAGACAAAGCTCCCAAACGCTGCTCGGCCCATTCCTCTGTCTGACGTTACGGGAGCTGTACCGAAGTCCAATCAATGGCTTCTCACAGAAAAGCCTTTGATTAGACCATTTTACCGGATCCGGGCTCATGCGCACGCTCTGAGCTGGCAAGGTGAAGCGGAGTCAGGGAGGTTAAGAACCAGAAAGGACGGCAGGGAAATAAAAAAAATAGAGGGGATAGGTAAAAGGGAGGGCTTCATTCAGTTGGGAGGGGTGGGAGACAAGAGCTCTGCCTGCAAGGGTTACATTTGTCGCCAGCTTGTTGTGCACGCTGACAACAGATGTAATTTATGCACAGAATTGACACCTATCAGCCCGGAACAGAGTTATGGGCTGCCTAAGTCACATGTGCTGGGGGGAGCAACTTTCAAACTGAAACATCCAGACTTCTACCTCCATAACCACTTCAAAAAGCAGAAGTGGTCATGGTGGTTGGAGTAACCCTTTAAATGTTATTAGCAGTGGCAGTCCATTTTTTCTCAGAAACCTACCAGCTCCATTTGCTGTTGATTTCTAGATCCACCTTGCTTTCCTTGACAAATATCAGAATCTATATGTTTCTAGAGTCCAAACAGAGTAGTCGAACGCTCAAAGTACCACACCCACTATAGTGTGCTGTAGTGGTTATGGTGCCAGGAGTGCATTGGTGCCCTCGCATAGTAAGTAGTCAAACAGCGCCGGTCTTTGTGCTCATGTCCTACAAATGATCTCAACCAATCCAATGCTTTCCCATAGTAAAATGTTGGGAGTTTAGTGTGCTTATGCAGCAAATTTTCACGCTGTACCAACCAGATGGTCTCTGATAGAAATGGCTGCGATTTACTCTGCTTCTGAAGGAGCATAATTGTAATTGCAGTCAGTGGCGTACACATGACCCATGGGGCCCCGGTGCGAAAATTGATCCGTGGCCCCCCCCCCCCGCGTGCGCGGGCCGGGCCGCAACACATGACGGTGGGCACCTGGTCGCAGAGGTTACAGGGCTGTGACCCCTGCGACCGCGGTATGTACGCCAGTGCATGCAGATGCACACACTTAAAGGACCACTCTAGGCACCCAGACCACTTCAGCTTAATGAAGTGGTCTGGGTGCCAGGTCCAGCTAGGGTTAACCCATTTTTTCATAAACATAGCAGTTTCAGAGAAACTGCTGTGTTTCTGAATGGGTTAAGCCTTCCCCTATTTCCTCTAGCGGCTGTCTCATTGACAGCCGCTAGAGGTGCTTGCATGCTTCTCGCTGTGATTTTCACAGTGAGAGCACGCCAGCGTCCATAGGAAAGCATTATGAATGCTTTCCTATGTGACCGGCTGAATGCACGCGCAGCTCTTGCCGCGCGTGCGCATACAGCCGACGGGGAGGAGAAGAGGAGGATCGGAGGAGGAGTGCTCTCCGCCCAGCGCCTCAGGGCACTATAGTGCCAGGAAAACGAGTATGTTTTCCTGGCACTATAGTGGTCCTTTAAAGGACCACTACAGACACCCAGATCACATCAGCTTAATGAAGTTGTCTGGGTGTCACGTCCCTCTAGTTTTAACCCTGCAGCTGAAAACATAGCAGCTTCAGAGAAACTGCTATGTTTCACTGAGGGTTAATCCAGCCTCTAGTGGCTGTCTCACTGACAGCCGCTAGAGGAGCACACTGAACGTCCATAGGAAAGCATTGAGTAATGCTTTCCTATGGGCGGTTTGAATGCGTGCGCGGTCGCATTCGGAGCTGAGAGGTTGAGGGATCCTCAGCGCCAAGGGAGTCCGGCGCTGGAGAAAGGTAAGTGCTGAAGACACACACACACACACTTACAGACGCATACACACTAGCTAACAGACACACAAATTTACTGACAGAGACACAGTCAGCGACAGACATAAATACACACTCACTTACAAAACATACACTCTCATTGACAAACACACACTCACTAACAGACATCAAACAGACTCACTAACACACACACACTCAGTAAGACACACAGTAACACACTCACTGACACTCACTAGCAGACACACACTAACACTCACATTCACTCTAACACTCACACTAACACTCACTAGCAGACACACTAACACTCACTCTAACACTCACACACACTAACACTCACTAGCAGACACACACACTAACACTCTAACACTAACACTCACACACACTCAAACACTAACACTAACACATGTTTTTTTTTAAAATGTAATCCCCCCATCCTCCTTACCTTTTGGAGTGCTGGGGGGATTCCCTGGGGTCCAGTGGTGCTGCTGGGCTCCTGGGCGGGTGGCCGGTCGGGCAGGCGGGCGCGCGAGGGAGCACTCAGTGCTTCCTCTTCAGCTCCCTCGCGCGCCGCATAGGGATGCCGGCGCCGGAAGGTGACCGGCTCCTGGGCCCCCCAGGGGAAGAGGCTGGCCCTGTGGCTACATACCGGGTCACAGGGGCGGCCGGGCCCCCTGGTGGGCCGGGCCCGGTCGCAGCTGCGACCCCTGCGACCCTGGTATGTACGCCACTGATTGCAGTATAAGTATAATAGGCAAATAAAACAGTTGTAAACAAAAAAAGTGGTAAACAACTATCATTAGACTAATATATATAAATACATTAAAGGGCAGATTACATTGCTGAAAAATAGTGTCAGGTTGTATGTAATGCAGACACCTTCTTCCAACTAAGTTCACCTGGAAGCATGTAGCGTGTGTATGCATGCATGTCTAAGGGCTGTAGAGATTGTAGTGTGTGTATTTCAGAGCTGTACAGTGTGTTTGTATATAGGGGCTGCAATGTATGTGTATATGTTTATAGGGGTTGCATTGTGTTTGTGTGTATTAGGAACTGTAGTGTGTAAGTTTATAGAGGATGTAGTGTGTATGGGGTACTGGGGCTGTAGTGTTTATGTACACTAAAGAGTGGGTACAGAGTGTGTTCTTGGGGGTATAGTGTTTGTGTTATCGACCCTTTTGGTCCAGAGCTGGTTACTGGCTAATATGATTTCCTAATGGAGAAAGGGCCCTGGTGCAACAAAGGTTTTTGTGCCCCTAAATACAGTAAAGTTGGTCAAAAAGGTCCAAAGATGCTTTGCCAACTGTGGATCTACCATTTACCCATCCTTGCAGGGTTCTATTTGTGTACAGAGCCTGTAAATGTAGGCTTTTTTTTGTATGGAGTATATTTGTGAGAATGCTTGTGTAGGGTGTGTGTTTGTGTGTAGTGTTGGAATTTAAATACAACCGCGTATGTAGTGTTTTACATTTAAATGTAAAGATTATTTTATGTAGTGCTGATGTTTGAATGCAATAGTGTGTTTGTGTGTAATATTGGTGATTGCATGCGCTGACAGACATAAACACACACATAGAAACACTCACCCTCTTTCTCCTGCAGTGCACACTCTGTCTACCACCGGTGTCTAACTTTAAAAGAGGCGGCCTGCCTCCTCCCTCACTTGCGGCACATCATGACCTAAGAGGGAGCTGTGGCACCTGCATTCATCGCCTGCCCTTAGGATCCAGTACTGACTGTTCATTACCTGGTGGTCCAGTGATGACTGTTCATTCAGTGGTGGTTCTAGCACACAATGTTGAGTCAGAGTGCAGCAGAAGGGATTTCCTACTTGGCGCTCTGACTCAATAAGTGTGCACCGGAACTGAGAGGGAGACTTGTACCAGCAGCAGGTACATACATAGCCTGGTGTTGCAACATGGCGGCCATGTTGCCATGGTGCCTTGCTCGACCACACAGCTCACACACCTCTAAGGCTGGCCTTGTGTGTAATGTAGTGGTTATGGTACTTGGAGTGTTAATTAATCACTTTATGTTCAGTGAAGGCCACAACATTCCACTAAAAAGATGTATAAGTGATATGTGCCCTGTGATATAGAGTGAATGTGGCACCAACAGTTCCCATTCATAACATCAATTAACTTATCAGTTCCTTGGTGACAATTATTTAAATAGTTTCTCACTGTTAGTACATCAGTTCTGCATACTACTGGACAGAACTTCCAAGCCTTCCACAACAGAATGTAAAATTAAGCAACATGAAAAAGAATATATATGCTGGTCAAACATTCTGCACTCACGTGGTTATGACGAGGAGGCTCCAGTTAAATGCAATCAACAAGGCAATGTTGTGTCTGTCACACGTCTCTCAGTAGCCTCCTTGTTTGTATCATGGTTTGCCAGAATTCCCTCACCATCATATTCTGTCAAGTCATAGTGAAGTGACTTTGATACATTTATTTATTGGCTCAGCAGACCCTTAACCTGGGACAGACAGATGGTCCAGGGAGGGGACTTGTTTACTTGCTAGGCCTGACATGTTTGGTGTCTGACCCCGATATCAAATGTTATTATCAAATCCGTTTCAGATGATGCCTCTGCTAATTTCTAAACCATGTGTTGTGTGGAGGTCAAACCATATCCTGTAAACAGCTAGCAGTTCGTTGTGTCTAATCCATTCTCATAGACTTGCTAAAAGTGCAAGAATACATCTGACAGAACATTATATAGTACCCACTTCCAATTATATAATCTGAAACTTACATTTAAAATAAAGTAAAAAATATATTTTTAATGTGATTTTCAAAGCTAATTTTCTGCTGTGGAAGAGTATTTTTTTTCTCATTTACTTGAATGAACAATTAACTGAGCAGTAGAAGAGATTGGGCTCAGTAATTCTCCCACAGAAAGTAACTGGAGGACCAGGATTGGCTGTAAAAGAGAGACAGTGCACATCTACAGGATAACCACATTATATGCATGCAAGACCAATTTAGAGCAGAGACTTAACAGTACTTGAAGAACATCTGAGAGAAAGAAGCATTTCATTACAAGGCCCATTGGCTACTAAACCTGTAAAAAGACCACGGAACGCTCCCAGAACAGGAACTAGTCACCATTACAGTGGGAGCTATCCAATAAAGAGTAGCCCACGTGAATGGTTGGTCAGCCCCAAGACCTGATATGCTCCACACATACTAGATAAAGAAATTAACCATGCTGCATGAACGCGTAGCAGCACAAATTAACCAGCTACTAGTCACAGGCTCCCACCCTGAAAGGCTAACACAAGGCAGAACAATATTTGTCATGAATGACCCTCACAAAAGGAACACCACCATCTAACTACCAACCAATCGCCTGCCTCCCCACGACATGGAAGGTCCTGTCAGGCATCATGGCCTCCAAGATCAATGGGCATATGATTCAGTACATGAGCAATACTCAAAAGAGATTTGAAACAACACCAGAGAACACCATCTACTGGTATACCAAGCAGTCACATGGGATTCTAAGACTAGACAGACTAATTTGTGCACAGCCTGGATCGACTAGAAGAAAGCCTATGACACAATGCCACCCACATGGATACAGGATTGCTTGGGTCTCTACAAGGTCAGCAAGACACTAAGAGCCTTCATCAAGAACTCGATGGACAAATGGAAAACAATTCAAGAAGCCAATTCCGGGACAATAACTCAAGTGAACATCAAATGTGGCATATACCAAGGTGATGCCCTATCCCCAATGCTGTTCTGCATAGGCCTCAACCCCCTTAGCCAGATCATCAAGAAGAGTGGATACGGATACAGGTTCAAGAGCGGAGCTACCATCAGCCACCTACTCTACATGGACGACATCAATCTGTATGCCAAGAGTGAGCGGGATATTGATCCACCTGTTGTGCCTAATCATTAAATTCATGAAGCGCCAATATCAAAAAGCAATAATAAATTACCCTAAGGTTTTTAAAGATATTGGTGGGAACCAAAACCCTATTTGGGATGAGTGCATTGAATATTTGAGAAAGGGAAAGCCACTGACATCAAGTACTTGTAAATAATCAATACAAACTTTATTGACTAACAGACTTAATTAATAATCATTCAGCTTAAAGGAACAGCTCAAAGGCAAAAACAGCTTAATAAAAACAGCTTAAAACATCACCATAAGAGAGAGAGACTTGCTGCACTCGACTGAGAGAACTTCTAGAGGTCCGGCTTGAAGGAGACCCTCTCTTACTGGGATATCAGCTTAACCAGCAATACGCATTACAGGTGGGTAGTACTCCAATGAGTGCCAAATTCTCTCATCTTTTTATGAGTTATTAATAAATCAATGGGGTGAATAGTCTGTACTTTTCCACCAAATCTTCTTATCAGTGCAGCCCAGCAAAAATCTTGCAAAAGCGTTCGATGGGAACTTACAGTTGGCCAGACTGTTCAGTCCCACAACAATGCCATGCCAGATCTGTGCGGTTAATTATCTCTGTTCTCATAACTATCTAAAAAAAACTAGCTCTGTTCTCATAACTATCTTGTGAAGCTATGCATGACTGTTTTGTGGTTATTAACATTTTCAGTAATGTGTGCTGGCACAATCTTGACTATCTATAATAGTTTGATTTGCTCAACAAGGATAAATTAATCATTCTTAATTAATATGGAATATTATTATCACACCACCTAACTAGGATATACAGCCAGGACATCGGAATGTCATTCAGACTAGATAAGTCTGGGTGGATGATAGCAAAAAGAGAGAAGACGATCAGGACAGAAGGAGTTCAAGTACCAGAAGGTCAAAGAGGAGATGTAGAGAACAGCTACAAGTACCAGGAGGTACCACAAACAGAAGGCAATCATGGGGAAGAGCCGCAAAGAGTTAAACGGGTCCTGAGGTCCCAGCTCAAGGGCAAGAACAAGATCCAAGCCATCAACACATATACCCAACCAATCATCAGCTATCCAGCTGGAATAATAACCCGGCCATGAGAATAACTGGACCCCATAGATGTCAAGACCTGGAAACTTTCACTATGAGTGGAGGATTCCACATGACACTCAGAGACTGTACACCAGCTGGAAGGAAGGAGGTCGAGGCCTGATGAGTGTCAAGGAGACAGTCCTGGATGAAACACAAAGCATGCACAAGTAAATCACAAAGATAGCTCTCAGAGATGAACTACTAAGGGAATCCCTGAGACTTCAACAGATAAAGTATGCAGAAAAGGATGAGGTTCCATGGCAAGACAAACCTCTCCATGGGATGTACCCAGTGGTGTATTCTGGCTTTGTGCTACCCTATGACAAAACTCAGGCAAACCCCTCCCCTTCTAAATTTCACCTCCTGTTAAAAACCAACACACTCTTTACCTGACAGACACACCTTCACTGATGCATTCACTCACTGACATATACACAATCATTGTCACACACACTGTTTAACCAACACACTTTCAATGAAACATACACACACACATCCACCGATAGACACGTTAAATGACACACACATTTATTGACAGATACTCATACACATTCACTGAAAAGACACATACATACTCACTGACAGACGCATACTCACACTTTCACTAACAGATACAGAAACACTAACACACTCACCAGACACACACAGACTCACTAACAGACACACACACACACACACTCACCAACAGACACAAACTAGCACACACTAACATTCACTAACAGACACACTAACACTCACTAACAGAGACACACACACTCATTATCAAACACCCACTAACACTCACTCACTAACAGACACACTAACAAACAGACACACTAACATACTCACAATTTTTTATTTTTTTTATTTTTTATTATTTGGTTACATTTTAGTTTTATTTTGGTGGATTCTTCCCTGGGGTCCAGTGGGACTGGCAGGGCAATGCAGGTGGTCTGGCGGACGGTCCGAAAGGCAGGCACAGGTGGCCAGCCGGCCAGCTCCTGGGCCCCCCAGGACAAGAGGCTGACATGGCATCTGCTGGGGCGTTTGGGAGGGGGTGACTTTTTGCCGCCCCCCCTGAAAGCGCCGCCCAAGGCAAATGGCATGTCAGCCTCGCAGTAAATACACCGCTGGATGTACCACTGACAGATAGGGGATGTGGCTCACATTATGAAATCTTACCAGTGGTTGGAAAATGCAGGGCTGAAAGACATTAATAAGGCACGAATCCTAGCAGCACAAGAATTCTGAAAACAAAGTACTAATTACACTTTGAATGAAAACACCAAAATTATGCGGGTTAACCCCTAATGCACACAAACTGCAACCTAGGACCAAAAAAGTTGTTTTCATTGTGTTTTCATTGTAAATGAGCAAGTCAGAACACCAACAAAAAAAGACTAGAGTGACAAATGTAGAGCAATGCTATAAATGAACCATTATGGATATTTAAAAAAAACAAAACAAAACAACAACAACATATAATGTCAAAGTTAACACAAATATCCTGCTTAAAATAGGGGTGAGATGTAACCTAAATCATGTGAAGCATGTACTTAAACCCATGATCACTATTCAACAATAATCAAAGGAAGGGAGGAAAGTTTCCAAATTGATCCATTCAAAATTAGGGCAGATAAAGAGACTACAGGTGATCAGTAAATTATAAAAGTAAAGGTTAACCTCACACATCTAAAGTGGTGTTATGCTTCAGGGCACTCCAGCCTAAACATGAATCTACTTGAGCTCTCTCAGCAATCTTTACCACCATGAGTAAGAAGAAAAAAAAATAATAATTATGTTGTAAACTTGGGGAGAAGTACACTGGGGCTATAGCCTCAAATGAACTAAATATACTGTTGCTACTAGTTGGTAATATAAGGTGTGTATATATATACTGAATTACTCTAAATGCAACAAACATATATTGGCAATCTTGTAACAAAGTCCCTAGTGTACCTAGAATCTCCAGCTGTTCATGCTGATAACTATCTTTGAAAATCCTTAATGTGCCTAGCTGCCACAGATAACTGCAACAAAGTACCGGTATCTAAAAGTCCCTAGGTAGATTGTCTCCCTGAGTACTAAACTCTACCCAACTAAAATTGAAAAAGCCTTAAAAGATGCATCATTTATAAATATAGTTTTATCTAGTAAATCAAATGATAACCAGTGCACAGTATCAAAACAAGGGAATGCATCTGAGCCCGACGCACTTGTTTCGCCAGAGATGGCTCATCTCATAGTGATATATATTCAGTGTTCAGTCTATATAGAGCTTCATGGTTCAATATTCAGTTTATAGAGAGCTCTGTGGTTCATTGTTTTTTTTTAAATTTTTTTTTTTTTTGCAGTGCATAGTGAATGATACAAGCAAGCCTGAGGTGCCCCAAGAGCAGTCCACAGGCTGTTCCTCGCGTAACATGCGGGACATATGTTTAAAAGGCACATTTTTATATTTTAAGCAGGCTTTGTTCAATAGATCATTATACAGGCTAATAAACAATATAACTTGCAGTAACAGAAGATTCATTCTAGATATCGAGACGTTGCTAGTCTGGCTTGCGGTGCTAATACAGCTTGGGCGAGCATTCATTCTAGCGTGTTGTCATATATAGTGCTATGGCTAAACATCAGAGAACAGCACACGATCTGTGCTAGTGCATAGGGGCCTTTAGTGCTGGGTAAGTGGACTAGGGAGGAAGGCAGATAGGGTGCCAGTGGCCACCAGGTGGGGAACATGTAGAGACATATTAGTTACTCATATTTAAGGAGATACTCCCGTATGATTAAAGCTATTACAATGCAGTAAAATAGGAGGCTTCTCTGAACCTGAAGCAAATTAAAAAAAACAACAAAAATTCAAAACCGTTATGTCTTAGCGTTAAATTATCCAGGCATGTGCCTTCTAATGAAAAAATGCCAAGCAGTGAGTCTGACATGCCTTAATGTTTAGTCCCCACATGCAGCCCCTCCATGACCACGGCTTCCCCCGGCGGCAGTCCCAATGTTTCCCATCGATAGGACTCATGGGACTTTTGGTGACTATACCTATAAGATGGGCAGAAGGTGTGCAAGCCTCCGGGTGAGCTGTCGCAGGGCATTTCCAGCAGGTGCTTCCATCAGTGGTGCAGCTGGGAGCTGTTCCCACGCGTCCCAGGTATGCGGCCCATGGGGCTGGTCAGCGTCGTAGGAGGCTTTGTGAGCATCGCGAGGGTTTACGCTGTGCTGGTTCAGAGTTGTTAGTGCCACTGATTGGTAGGTTGGACGGGTGTGTCGATGGGTCCTATTCTGAGGCTTGGGGTCATGAGCGTTGCTGTCCGAGGGCCCCGGCGCCTTTTCCCGCCATGTTGAGCCTCGGCTTCGTTTCCATCTGGAGGCCGCTCGGGAGTTACTAGGTGGGTACTCCTGCAGGTGGTGTCGGGTAGCCGGGCGAATCCACGCCTTTGCTTCTCTCACTACTAGCTTGTAGGTCTGTCTCCTGTTTTTGAGCTTTGCCCAGAGATAGGTGCATAGCCGGCCAAAGAACTCCAGTGTGTGCCTGGGCGGCTTAATAGGTGTTCGTTGGGTCATAGGCTGCTTCTGAGCCGCCATCTTGGCTGGGCTCGGTTTGTCTCGTTTGGCTGGAGGTTTAGTCGCTTGGTTAGGCGGTAGTGTGGGGGTGATCGCCCCCAGCGAGGACCGGGATGTCCCCCACCGGTCCAGGCGGCGGGGGGGTAGCAGGGCTGTAGTAGACACTTGCTTGTGTGCTCGTCCCATGCCGGGAGATAGGCCGCCTCTCCCGGACCTCAGGCTTTGCTCTGGTTTAGGCCGCGTGGCTGATGGAGGTTTTTCCTCGGTGCACTGGTGCCGGACAGGTACCGTTTTGTTTGTCATGTTGCTCTGTGTCTATTCCCGGTCACTTTGTGCCTCCAACGTAATAGTGTCACTCGGTTTCAGCTCATATTTGCCATTTGTTGCAAGAGCTCCTAGGACATGCGACCAGCCATCTCGGCTGTCAGGCCCCGCCCCCTGTGGTTCATTGTTGAGTGTATTGAGAGTCAGTCTATGGAGAGTGGTCAAGTTCTTTGTTTAAGCCTATGGAAAGCTCCACTGTTCAATATTCAGTCTATGCAGAGTTGCCGGTTCTGTGTTCAGTCTATGGAGATCTGCTGAATTCAGTGTTCAGCCTATGGTGAGCTGTTGGGTTCTGTGTTCAGTTTATGAAGATTTGAAAGATTCAACACTTATTTATTGTGTTTTTGCTATTCAGTAAATAGCGAACCACCATGTTGATGCTAATTGACATGCCAAGTAAATTTCAGAGTGTATATTGTGATAAACATTGCATGTAACTGGAGCTGCTTAATCTCATTCTGCAGGTAACTCATTCTTCTTCTTTACTGTAACAAAAATATTACGAAATATGATTACGTAACAGAGACCAACATAAACACAACCTAGTAGCAGTGCAGACTATCCATGAAGTATAAGTGACGTGGAATACTCAGCTTTTTGCAGTTTACAAATTTCATGACAAACGTATATAATAATCTAACAAGATAATTAGCTAAGACAATATTTAATATAATATAGTCACAGGCGCATACAGACACATAATTCTAAAAGTATTCAGACCCCTTCCATTTGCTACACATTTTTTTAGGCTGCACCTTACGCTGTATTTTACACAGTAATCCAATACCCCATAATAACAAAAACACATTATTCTACACCATGGGAAATATATTATTCAGCAAAACCTCAAATATCACATTGACACAAGTATTCAGTCCCTTAAATCAGTACTTAGTCGAAGCACCTTTGGTAGTGATTACAACTCCAACTCTTTCTGGGTATAATGCAACACGGTTTGCATACCTGGATTTTTGTAGTTTCTCTCATTCATCTCTGCAGATCCTCTCATGTTCTGTCTGGCTGGATCCTTGGTGTACGGCTATTTTTTGTCTCTTCAGAGATATTTAATTGGATTCAAGTCCAGGCTCTGGTTGGGTCAATCAAGTACATTCATAGAGTTGTCTCTAGCCACTCTCGTGGCACTGAATGTGCTTAGGATCATTGTCCTGTTGGAAGGTGAACTTCTGGCCCAGTCTGAGACCCTGGGCACTTTTCAAATAAGGATATTCTCCGCATTTTTCTGCAATTCCACTTTCTCTCACCCCTGACCAGTCTACCAGTCCATGCTGCTGATCTCCCCCCCCAAAGTATATATACACACACACATACGTACCAGATTGTATGCCATTATTGCGCAAGAAAAAAATAAATCAGATCAAAATAGTGTGTAAAATTACCACCTGCATCGTTGAATATCTCCAATGCTGCTAAGTCTTTCCTATCGGATAAATGCATTAGAAAGCTATAGGAGCAGAGATTATTTTTCACAGCACAAGTGCGTCATTCCGACTGCACTTATAGGGGAACACCAGAGACACAACTGTCATGCCTGTCCTTTAAAGTTAAACTTTAAATAGCCATGAAATGTTGTTTGTGTTTGTGCTCAGAGCCATCCTTGTGTATTGTGTCCTATGATGGTGACTGCCACCTAGTGGTTTAACTATTAAACTTTATCTCCTGGATCACTCATTTGAAAAGCGTTCTTTTTAAAATTCCAATTATCCTCACTCTGTTTATTACTCTCACAAGTTACTGAGTGACACTGTTATTACCCAATTTTTGGGACTTGAAAGAGAATTTAAATAATTTTAACATTTTAGAACAAATTTGCAGATTGTAAACATTCTCTGTCAACTGGTTTTAGTTCGATCTCTTTTTTTTCTGTGCTCTATTGTTTTTTTTTACTATACACCTTTATTTCAGCAACACAACAGAATTCATATATCACTGTCTTGCACTTTCAGTGCTATGCCATACAGAACCTGGGACTATCTACACCATGGGTCGTCAACCTGGTCCCTACCGCCCACTAGTGGGCGTTTTAGGATTCCAGGTGGGCGGTAGGGATTTCTGAGGCTAAATCCTCTTTTTAAGAGGATTTCTCCTTTTGGGCGGGCGCGAGCGGCTCTGCATGTGCAAGTCTTCAGTGACCGGCAGGAGGAAGCGCTCCCTCCTGCCAGGCCACCTTCTGGACCCCCGGCATGGCAGCGTTCTAATCAGTCGCGGCGAGGGAGCTCTAACCTCTCTGCTCTGCTCCCTCGCGCGATGTTTGCTGATGCCGCGGGAGCCGGAATATGATGTCATATTCCGGCTCCCGGCATCCGTAGACAGTCCGCGAGGGAGCAGAGCAGAGAGGTTAGAGCTCCCTCGCTGCGTCTGATTAGCCGCCCGCCTAAGTGAAGCCCCACTGGACCCCAGGGACAGATCCACACCAGCTCTCCAGGTAGGGAGGCTGGGTGGATATTTAATATTAATAATTTGTGTGTACATGTGTTTGTCTCTAAGTGTATGTGTGTGTGTCTGTAAGTGTATGTGTGTGTGTCTGTAAGTGTATGTGTGTGTCTGTGTCTGTAAGTGTATGTGTGTGTCTGTGTCTGTAAGTGTATGTGTCTGTGTCTGTAAGTGTATGTGTCTGTCTGTAAGTGTATGTGTCTGTCTGTAAGTGTATGTGTCTGTCTGTAAGTGTATGTGTGTGTGTCAGTAAGTGTGTGTGTGTCTGTGGGTCTGTCTGTGTATGTGTGAGTGTCTGTAAGTGCATGTGTGAGTATGTGTATATTTGTGTGTATGTGTTTCAATGTGAGTGTGTGTGTGTGTATGTGTTTGTCTGTGAGCAGAGTACTTGTAGAATAGAAGAAAGAAGGTGCAGAGTACTTGTAGAATAGAAGAAAGAAGGTGCAGAGTACTTGTAGAATAGGAGAAAGAAGGAGTAGAGTACTTCTAGTATAGGGGAAAGAAGGAGTAGAGTACTTCTAGTATAGGGGAAAGAAGGAGTAGAGTACTTCTAGTATAGGGGAAAGAAGGAGTAGAGTACTTCTAGTATAGAGGAAAGAAGGAGTAGAGTACTTGTAAAAAAGGAGAAGGAAAGAAAAGGAAAAGGAGAGAATTGTTGTTGACTAATAATAGTAAGTGGGCTACCTAGCTCAGCCTTCCTACTGGGCATTGCTATAAGGAAGGTTAAAAAATAGAAAAAAGGGGAAAAAGGTGGGAAGGGGAATTGAGGAGGGAGAGGAGGGGAGCTGACGCACAGATGAGAAATCATTTTATGAGCAAACAAAGAAGTCTTCCGATTATCACTGAAAGAGGAGACCTTCGTTTGTTCCTTATGAAAATCGAACCAGATATCAAATATTTAGTCTCGCAGCATCAACCTCAAGGATCTCATTAATCACTAGTAAAGGTAAGTTCAATTTACTTTATTGCTTCCTCATTAAACTTTATAAAGTTAAAAACATTATAAACATGCATAAAGTAGAAATAAAAAGATAAATGTACGTTCATTTATGTATTTTTTAAAACACCCTCCTTTCTAAAAAATATTCCGCGCTTGCGCGAAAACTGGTGGGCGGTAAGGAAATTTTTCCATCAAGAAAGATGCATTAGTGGGCGGTAAGTGGAAAAAGGTTGACTACCACTGATCTACACAGTACCAAAAGTTGCAAATGGAAAATAAAACATAAAAAACAAACTTGTTCTCATATATACAGTGCCTTGTAATAATAATAATAATACTAATAATAATATATAGCCAATGTTATTATCATATTACAATTCTTTACATTCCAGTTACTGGTTCTGAGGCATATAGCTTGTCCCTACAGGCTGAGCATTGCAAAAATGTGGGGGGGTTTTCTGAGAAAAGGCTGTATTTACAATGCTTCCTAAGGCCATCTGTCATTGTCATTCCAACAGTCACTAGAGGGACTACCTGGGTTTGATCCTGTAAAGATTGCAGGACCGATGTTCAGCATCTCCATGCTGTGTACAGACAATTAACTCTCCACAGATGCATTGACTCAATGCATCTCTATGAGGAGATGCTCGTGGGTGCAGTCCACCAGCCTTCCAATGCTTCTCTATGAAATTGATTAGCTCAGTCGGGAAGGAGCAGCCTCAGTGAGACCAGCACAGCAAGGATTAGAAGGTAAGTAATTGTCTTTATTTCTTTGATTTGGGGGGTCCAGGAATGTAAATAGTTACTACAACACTATAGTGTTAGGAATGCTTATTTGTGTAAAGTTCAAAGTACACCAACGACAAACCCACACTTTGAGGAAACATCAATCATCTGTAACCTAAATAATTATACAATAATTTCATACTTTAGGTCAGAATAGTAGATTTGGAAATATTCTCCAGTCAGTTTTGATTTCACTTTGACGATGTTATTATAAAATTGTAAACTAAGTTTGAATTCCTGACAATTCTTACTTTATAAATTAGAAATAGTCATGTTCCAGGATATTTCATATTCACTTTACTTTTGCCCTATATTTAGCAAATATGTATTTCAAATTAAAGGAACACTATAGGGTCAGGATACAAACATGTATTCGTGACCCTATAGTGTTAAAAACACTATCTAGCCTCCTGCCTTCCTCTTATCCCCCTAAATATCATAAATAAAATCTTACCTTTATTACAGTCTGCTGGTGCTGTCTCTGCCCCTGATTTGCCTCCTTGGCTGACATCATCAGAAGTGGTGATCTCAGCCAATCACAATGCTTTTCCATAGGATTGGCTGAGATTGTCAAGGAGACAGATCAGGGGCAGAGCCAGCACAAGCCAAATACTGCCCTGGTCAATCAGCACCTCCTCATAGAGATGCATTGAATCAATACGTCTCTATGAGGAAATTTCAATGTCTGCACGCAGAGGGTGGAGACACTGAATGTCCGCCAGGAAGCACCTCTAGTAGCCATCTGGGCAGTGGCCAGTGGAGGTATCCCTAGGCTGTAATGTAAACACAGTGTTTACTGCAAAAAGCCTGAAGGGAGTATTCTACTCACCAGAAATATAATAAGCTGTAGTTGTTCTGGTGACTATAGTGTCCCTTCAAAAGGTAGAAGCCCTGATTCTTTCTTTTGCAACTGGGCCCCTCCATTGCAGCTCCCTGACAATCATTGTTATAAAATGTGTCCTGTGCACCTGGCAGCCAATATAGAGGGCATACAGAGACGAGGAGGAATTATGAAAGTGTTTCTATATCTCTTCTCCACTTGCAATGTTTGCTCTGCCTAAGTCTTGTTTAACTGGATTATGATTTAATTTTCTAAATCTTTAAATCTAGTTCATAAAGAAAATGGAGAATTTCATGAAGAAAGGTTAACACAAGTTAATATTTAATTAAAAAGTGTTAATTCCAAATAAGTGATGGTTCCCCTTTAAATAACCCTGTGCATGCACTGGAATTAAAATAGGAACATGCCTGACCCATGTTAAAGTATTTTGAACTGCCATCCATATCCTGAGGCACATTATACTTGGGTCTCTCGCATTAAGGTGCTTTGTCATTTACGCTGGGAACAATAGTAACTAGTTCTTTAACCCCTTAAGGACCAAACTTCTGGAATAAAAGGGAATCATGACATGTCACACATGTCATGTGTCCTTAAGGGGTTAAAGGAACACTATAGCATTAGGAATACAACCGTGTTACTAACGCTATAGTGCCCCCATCCCTGGTTGTTTTAAGCTCCCACCCCATTGCCATAAAAAATAATAATATGATTTACTTACCTTTCTCCAGCACGACTGCTCCCTCAGCACTGCTCACCTCTCGGCCCTGCAATGGTCCAATTCAACGATCTGGAGCATTGGGGACTTGATGCTTTCCTATGGGCTATTGCGTTGACTCTGTCAGTGCAGAAAAAGAGCCTCTAGTTGCTGTCTGGAAGAAAAGGTGGTGAAAAAATGTAAAATGGACAGAGTCACCAATGGAATGTGCCTGCTCGTTCCTATTGTTTTAATGGTGACTGCCCAACTTTTAGTATTTATGACAACTTTGTAGAACAGAACACTTGGATAAATCTCTCCTTTTGACTCAAACGCCAGTGACGTCTGGCACCACTTTAATGACTAATCAGGGAAATATGTCATCATTAGAAGCCAGCCTTCGTAGATCCTGTAAGAAAATGGAATGTCCCGCAATTGAAGGAAGCATGTATGCACACAGCTGCTAATGCTATGTAACCAGAACTTCCATACTGGATTGGGTGTTTATCAACCAGTTTGTGATGACTACTTAAAATATAATTGATCCCTGAGGGGTTAATTGAAACTCCTTAAAGAAATCACAGACACAAATCTGTCAACTCCTTGTCACTGCAAGCAGGGTGCCAATGGACAGTTGTAGAAGGGGGTGGACAGGAGACACAAATCACGTCACTGGCGTTGCCCAAAAGGAGCAGGTCTACCCAAAGAATTGACAGGTCAACCTGGTGTCAATATCACAGGCCAGCTCACTGATTGGGACATTAGGTAAAAAACAAAACAAAAGTGGGATACCAGGTAAAAAGTCCCGAAATTTGGACTGTCCCTCCTAAATTCGATGGTTGGGAGACATAAGAACACCAGGATCTTAGATCGGTGTTGAGTGACCACTATGGAAGTGACGAATAACCTCAGCACCCCACTTGTTTAAAAGCTATGTTTCCCAAGAAGCTCAGTCAAGCTTTAATCTTAAATTGATATTAAATATTGTTTTATATGCATTTTACTTTAAGATTTAGTTTTAGAACATGTTAATTGTAACTTTTTTTTTCATTTTTAGATAATTACTTTGTTTGTTACTTATGGTTTTGCAGTGACAAGCATCAGAGATGGCGACACAAGTGTCTACCTCAGGGCAGAGAAGGCAGGTGCTGGGATCTGAGGAGTACAGTCTGTACAGCAGTTTGAGCGAAGATGAGTTGATACAAATGGCTATTGAGCAAAGTTTGCTGGAAGGTAACTCTGGGCAAACAACTGCCTGCAGCAATCAAAAACAATCTGACAATCTAAATGAGAGGGCAACAGCTGCCAGCTTGGCCAACCGGCAGACTCCACGACAAACACAGCTTCCCCAGCATAACAGGTGAGAAACCCTGTACAAGAAGTTGGAATTGTTAAACACCCCTCTCCCTTTTTAATACATTATACAGATATACACACTCAGACATATAGGAAAAGATTTATAATAAAATAAATTGGTTTAAAAATGAATTCCTCGCTGTATCTTCTTTGGAAGCAAAAAGGAAGTGGCTAAGTATTTCAGCCAATCTGTGCTCTCCCTTCCTGTTGTATAGAAAAAGCAATGAGCATGTTCAGGAACGTGTAGTCAAGAAAGCATGTTGTATATAAATTAATATTTCCTATATACTCCGTGCATTTTCTTCCAGCAAACACAGATTCAGATTCTGTGGTTTGTATTGGCATGCACAGAAGTTGTTGTGAATATAAAAGGAAGGCCAAACTCTCCAAGTAAGCAATGCTTTCAGATCAGCTATTTTTGCCGTGCATTTTTAATTCAGTCTCTAGTCTTGACAATTTGTACTTTTGTACTTTGGTAAATAATCCTGTTATTGTCTATTTAAGTAGCAAAAGATTGTTTTTTTTTAAATTTTGAAATTTATTTTGTGAAAAATTCTACAAGCCCCTGAGCCGAGGGTAAAAGGAGGGAAGCCGAAAAAGAATCTGCGACACTTATAATATACATGGCAAAAGCCCTTAAAGGGACACTATCGGCATCAAAAGAACTTTAGCTTAATGAAGCAGCTTTATAGATAATGCCTGTGCAGTCTCATTGCTCAATTCTCTGCCATTTAGAAGTTAAATCACTTTTGTTTCTGTTTATCCAGCTCTAGACACACCTCCCCTCACTGTGACTCATGTAGCCTGCATGAACAAAACAGTTTTATTTTCAATCAGGTATTAAAGGGACACTGTAGGCACCCAGACCACTTCAGGTCATTGAAGTGGTCTGGGTGCTGTATTGCACTTGCACTTTTTGCTGCAATGTTAAACATTGCAGTTCCCTTTCCTATTGGGAGGTCTAATGCGTGCGCAGCATTTGCCACGCATGCGCATTAGACCCTGCTTGTTACAGGACAGAGGAGATGGCGGAGCTTCGACCCAGCGCCAAAGGAACATCAGCGCTGAGATAAGGTAAGTAAATAACCCTTTATTTACTGGGTAGGAAGGGGTGTGGGGGAGGCAGAGGGATGGGTAGTTCCAGGAATATAGCTTTGTATTCCTGGCACTACAGTACCCCTTTAACTTGCTTTAGAAGTTTTATATTCTGGTCTGTAAATTAAACTTTAATCACAGACAGGAGGTTTCTGCATGGTCTAGGACAGGGGTCCTCAAACTCCGGCCCCCCCAGATGTTGCTGAACTACAACTCCCATGATTCTCTGGCTATTTATGTAATTCAAAGAATCATGGGAGTTGTAGTTCAGCAACATCTGGGGGGCTAGAGTTTGAGGACCCCTGTCCTAGACCATGCAGAAACCTCCTGTCTGTGATTAAAGTTTCACTTACCTGTTTCCAGCGTCAAACACTCCTCCGCCCATAATCTCACGCTGATAGGGAAACCTAGTGTGCATGAGCGGCTAGCACCGCGCATGTATTAGACCTTCCCCATAGGAAAGCACTGAATCGATGTGTTCCTATAGAGATTTTGAAGATGCTGCATGTCCTTATGCGATGCAAGAAGACAAACTCCGTGAGAGGCCAGGAAGCCCCTCTAGTGGTTGTCTGGGAGACAGTCACTACAGGTTATCTTAAAACTGCAATGTTTTACGTTGCGGGGTTAAGAGTATAGGGACACTAAACCCAGGCTACTTCAATGAGATGAAGTGGTCTGGGTGCTTACAGTGCCTAGAATGTGGCGGCAGATAATAACAATTTGGCCCATCTAGTCTGCTCAAGTTTCTTAATACTTTCATTAGTCCTTGGCCTTATCTTATATTATGCCTATCCCACGCATGCTTAAACTCCTTTACTGTCTTAACCTCTACTACTTCAGCTGGAAGGGTATTCCATGCATCCACTACCCTCTCAGTAAAGTAATACTTTCTGATATTTTTAAACCTTTGCCTCTCTAATTTAAGACTATGTCCTCTTGTTGTGGTCGTTTTTCTTCTTTTTAATATAGTTTACTCCTTTATAGTGTTTATTCCTTTTATGTATTTAAATTTTTCTATCATATCCCCCCTGTCTCGTCTTTCTTCCAAGCTATACATGTTAAGATCTTTTAACCTTTCCTTGTAAATTTTATCCTGCAATCCATGAACAAGTTTAGTAGCCCTTCTCTAAACTCTATCCAAAGTATCAATATCCATCCTTATGTATTCAATGTAACATGGTTCAGTTCTCATCTCCCTGCTATTTTTCCTATTTATGAAAAGGACAGTTTAAAAGACACTATAGTTACCAGAACAACTACAGCTTATTGCATTTGTTCTGGTGAATCATTCCCTTCAGGCTCTTTGCAGTAAACACTGTCTTTTCAGAGAAAATGCAGTGTTTACAATACAGCCAGGGGCGGGCTGGGACAGGGGGGAGGGCAGGGAGCCATATTTCCCCCACCCCCAGTCTGCCCTAAATCCAGGGCCGTCCGCATCCAGCAAAAAAAGGAAAAATCTGAATCCCCTGCCTCTGCCTCTGGCTCTGGCCCTGCCTTTGACTGGGGACTCGGATTTTTCAACTTACCTCTCTCCCTGCAGCCTGCAGCCAGTGGAGTCTGTCGGCCTCTCCTGATGATGCCAGGAGGGGGGGGCGGGACTTTCACTGCTCTTCTCCCAGGACCGCTGGGGAGTCTGGGGGAAGAGCAGAGGAAGTCAGCCCCCTGCTCCTGACATCATCAGGAGAGGCCGGCCGAACCCACTGACTGCTGGCTCCTGCCCTCCCTGGCCTAAGGTAAGACTCGGGACGGGGAATACACTTTAGTTTTTTTTTTTATCCCGCTCCCTCAGCCCTGTCCCTCTTCCTCAGCCCCGTCCACTTGCTGAGCCCTGTCCCCCTTTCTCAGTTCCTGTCCCCCCCTCTCAGCTCAGCTTTATTAAAAAATAAATGCATATATTATATATTTATTTTTAAATATTTTTAATAAGCTCTTCTTGCTCAAAGCTTCATGTAAATGACACAATAATCCAAACTTTTGACTAGCTGATGCAGTGGTAGAGGATTAATTATCATGGGCTGAAAGATAAATCTCTAAAAACGTGTTTGTGTTTTTTTGTTTTGTTTTTTAAGGATCACTATAGGGCCAGGAACACAAACATGTATTCCTGACCCTATAGTGCTAAACCCATCATTTAGGTGGCTTGCCCCCCTATAACAGTTTAAAACTCACCTTATTTCTAGCGTTGCTTGGGTCCGCCGGCGCTGGCTCTGCTCCCTTTGTGACATAATCAAAATGGCAGATTTTTAGCCAATCCAATGGATTCGCTAAAATTGGCACGGGGGTGGGAAAATTCAGAGTCTCCATGCATACCGTGCAGCCCTGAGCCAGGAAGCCCCTCCAGTGGCCATCTAAGGAGTGGCCACTTGGAGGTGTCCCTAGGGGCAATGTAAACACTGCCTTTTCTCTGAAAAGGCAATGTTTACATGAAAATGCCTGAAGGGAGCTATTATACTCACCAGAACAACTACATTAAGTGTCCCTTTAAATATTGACACATGCACGATTGTATTTGAAACAAAGGAGTCCTCAACTAAGCATGATCTAAAACATGTTTCTGTAACTCTTTAAGAACTTAGATCACTTAAAGGGATACTCCACTGTCCAAACAAAAAAATAAACAAATCACTCTTTTTAGTAGATATATCCCACATGAAAACTTGCATGCATTTAATTAAGCATTTTGTATTGGGGTAAATCTAAAAAACAGCTTGCAATTCTATTGTCTGCAACTTTGCAAACCCTCACCTTCTAAACCTGCATAGACTTTCTGTGGCTATCCAATCAAAGACATCCCCAATGCAGCTCAAGGAGAAGATTTTGCAAAGCAGGTGCTCTGAGCAATTTCTGCCTCTTGAGTTTAGCTCCACTGAGCTCACCAAACCAGGAAGCAACATAACCTATTGTCTGCTTGAAAGTCAAGGGGGTGTAACCATTAGAATTTATACAATTGTCAATTTGTATTGAAATCTGCACATTTTGCAAAATGAAAAAAAGAGGAGACACTCTTCACACATAGAGCTTTTCAGTAAGCTAAAGTGCTTTAGGGGTCTGGACACTCCAGGCACCCAGACTACTTCTGCCCATTGGAGTGGTCTGGGTGCCAACTCCCACCACCCTTAACCCTGCAAGTGCAATTTGTGCAGTTTTTATAAACTGCAATAATTACCTTGCAGGATTGACAACTGCATCCAGCGTCCATTGACGCCGCCATCCAGCGTCCATAACTCTCAGCTCAGTCTTGTATCATCAGGTATACTCTTCGAGGTCTCACGGAGCGTTGGTTTGCTTGGGTGCTTGGGGTGCACGTAGTCCGCTGGGGCTGTGGAAATCTCCATCCGCCAGGGCTCTGCTAACAGGCTTTATCCCGCCAAGTTAAAGCACTAGGCCTCAAACATTTGGAGGGCACAGTTGGGGCACAGCACGAGTAAGCAGACCCAATTTCAATACCGATATTGCCCAAGAGTTGCCATATGTCAGTATCTATAGCAGGGCATTGATGATCGGGCTTGGAAAATCCCCTATTTCTTCTATTTTGTGAAGTTTCACAGGAAATCAAGCTTGCTGCATCCTCTCAGCATGACAGTCAAGCTCCACCCGAAGACATATTTTTAACAAAATTAACATTAGGTAGCCTGGAAGAGAGTTACCAGTCACATGTACTGGGTTTGTACATACCCCTGGCAACAAAAACAGAATTAATTATGGTGGTCATGGTGGTTCGAGTAACCTTTTAATATGAACCAAGTTAGAAACAATTTGATATAAATTGGGTCTGTTCCACCAGGACCATCTCCAATCTTCGACATTTGCTTTATCAGGGAAGAGGGACAAATCAAATTTCCTATGAGAAAGCCCTGGATTGATCAAGATAATTAAATTTAATGATTTCAGACACAGAGGCGGGGCCAGCTGTGGCGAGACCGGTGCAGTGCTGAAAAAAAGGAGTAAAATCACTCTTTCAAGGTATAGAGTGGGGCTGGGAAGTGATTTAAAATATATAGTGTCAGGAATAAATGTTTGTATTTCTGACACTATAGTGTTCCTGTAACTCAGACCAAGAAGATTGACAATAGTGAAGGTGAAGAGCAGTTGTTTTACTACTTTCAATGGAGGATGCCAGGGCACTCCCGACACCATAACTACTACAACACACTATAAGGGTTATGTGTTCGTAGTGTTTCTTTAAAGGTGAGCTGTCATTTTTGTGGATAAATCATTGAAAATCACCTATATGTTTTAAATCTTTTCATCCCATGAAATGCTCTCTTTTCTTCAAACATTTATACTAAAGATTTAGCAAATTACATTATAATCCAGTTCAGACAAGTCAGAAACAGGGCAAACATTGCAAATGAGGAGGAGAAATAGACATTGTTTAATTTCTCAATACTGACCGCCACTTGCAATGGACAATGATTGACAGGGAGCCAAGATGGAGGTGCCTAGTTAGGATGAAGAGGTGTGGGTTTCTAGATATAATTTTATTTTTCACACCTCAGAGAACCATATTTGTTAAATACAGGGATCGGTAAACATAATATTAAATAATCTGAATGTGTAAAAAAAGAAAAAAAAAAAGTACAATATTTTGACGTTTATTTTCTGTCTCTGCTAGTTTGAGTTATTGACTCAGAAAAACGTCACTGTTTAATGAATAAACCCCATGGTTAGAAATGTAGCTGAGAATACATTAAAATAAATTCTAGATAGAACAATGACTGAATTGTAAGCTTTATCACAATCTACATTTAGCTGAATAAATGCTTTCATTGTAAGAAAATGTTTGTTTTGTTTTTTACTTGGGGGAAAAAAAATGCAAATCACCCACCAAAACAAATAATTTCAGGATAAACATCTTTTTGGGAGATCCGTGCACATGCTCATTAAAAGAAACGAGAAGTGCGGGTCAGCCCAAATGATGCTTTGACCAGTCTGTTTCCACTACTCTTTATTGAGTCATCTAAGTAGAGTCTATATAAGACGGTAAGATTTGTCTACCAGCCTGAATGAGAGATTTATTGATATATATGATAGTTACAAAAATGACAACAACAAAAAAATCTATCTCCAAACAGCACATAGTCATAAGGTAATGCATTAAAGAAATTTATTAAAATTGTTTAAAATGTCACGTGTCAAAAGAGCATGCAGAAAGGCGTGTCATTACAGCGCTGTACTTAACGGCGCCAATTTCATTGTTGTTAGTAATAATGGTTACTTAGAGTTAGGAGGGCCTATCCATTGTTAATGGTGGCTGCGATTAGAAGGTACCTCTTGTGGGCTGTAACTCCCATCATTCTTAGCCAGGCCCTGGAGTACCCAGTGCCATGAAAAAACAGTGCTATAATAGCACCATATAACAAAATGCTTTTATTGTAGCTGTCATGAACTTTTTTTATTTGCGTATTTTGAGTGTTGGTTCCAGGACTAGGGTGAGCAGTCAGTTTATGCCATTGGTCCCTATTACACCATCGACATTTAATAGAAAGACTGGGGCCCGTCTTCAATGCAGGAATCAGACCCCTGCAATCATCTCCCAAAATCTGAGATTTCCAGGAGGTTAATGCTGGACCTCAGACTGATGGATTCTGATAGTGTGCGTGTGTTTTACTTCATTGTTGTCTTATATGGTCATTCAAATCCCTTGACGTTTCCTCCCAGGGCCAAAAATAATCAAGTGCTGCAAGCAGCTGAATCCAACCTCTACCATCTGCTTCTATTCGAATTGTAGGAGGCTCTCCCTGCCTGTCTGTGCCTCTCTCTGGCTTGCTGTGTGAGGCTCTCATCTTCTATCAAGGTGTGGATATGACCTGCTTCTCTTATTCTGAATATTTCTCTTTGTTTCATGCCTGTCGTCACAAATCCAGGTCTGCCCAGCCTAGTGCGGCGCCATCACATAACCCGGGGTCAAACAAGGCAACAAGAAGGAGGTATGATGGAAGCTATTTCAGCACCCCCCAGGCTGTGTAAGTGACCCCCTTCTGTTCATTGGATACAGTCCTTTGTTTTAAATCATTTCTCTTCTAAAATCATATCAAATTACGTATTGTTGATTTTTTGAAATGTGTTAAAAAAGATTGTTTTTTTATAAATACTCAATGTTAAATACACTATTATAAAAAAAACACATTATATATATATGCGTATGTGAGTCCGATTGCGTGTGTATGTACATGTGAATGTGTTTGTAAACACGTGTGTGAGCAAAATGTGTAAGCAATAGTGCGAACTGTATGTGAGCATGATTGTATGTGTTGGTATGAATGTGTATTTGTAAACATGTGTACACGTGCATGTTTAAAAGTGTGCACATGTGTGAAAGAACGTGTTTGTGACTGTTAATTCATTTGGATTTTACATGTTATCACTTAGCACATAAAGGTTACCCACTGTAATGAATTACATTATTTGTTTTTGAATAAGCCGTGTTGTAACAATACATTTCTTATGTAACATTTACCATCACACATGTTAACAGATATGTGTCAATAAATTTAAAATTTCATATTTAGAATGTTTTTTTTTTTCCCTTTCTGGTATTATACATGCGATTTTTGAGCTTTGTAGCTTCATACCTCCCAATTGTCCCTATTTATGAGGACATTCCCTATATTTTCGTTGGAGCCCCATATTATTGGTTTGTTCAAGTTTATAACAGAGCAACACAGCAATAACACTCACAGTAATGTGTTTTTAAACTATAATAAATGTGTTTAGAAACCAGTCTGTGTAAATAGGATACATTGTCCTAAATTGCATTTTAGTTGCATAAATGAATAATAATTTACCTAAGATTTCTCAGAGCAACCCCAACCTGGCACACCATTCAAATTCCTAAAATGTGTCCCTTTGAAATGTTGTGATGTATGTTTAAATCTGTGCATTCACTTTCCCTGACCACTGCCTATCCTTCCTCATTGTCCTGTTACAGTTGCAATCATTCAATTCACACAGTTTGATGGTTGCCATGAGAACGCAGCTTCTCTTTAACTGTACTATATCAATCCATATTGCAAAAATTTCCAGCAACACCAGTCCTTTTTCAAATACTGACCTTATTCAACATTTAGTTGAATATTAAAAAATGCGTTGGATATTATAATCATCACTTCACTATTGCATGATGAGGGATAATAATCCCTGAAACATAAATATATTATAGAAAAAAAAAATACATTTTTGTACTAAAAAAAATACTTTAATTTCTGCGATCTGTGTGGAATATTGACTTATACAGACGGTTAATCATGGCACATTTTGTGAGCTACATTTCCCCTAGGCTAAATAAGCATTGTGGAAACATGTAGTTCAAAAACATTTAGGATGCTAATAAATATAGCACACTGAATACTTGCATTCTATGGGATTCTGTTTCAAAACATCAACACACAAATAGCAGGTCGTGTGACCAGTAAGGAACCATTTAACTCTATATTAGTCATAGATTGCCTGCCCTTTTAATATGCATTAATTACTTGGTAAAGGAGATGTGAGCTCTGGACTGCTAGTGGTCCACATGAATTGCTGCAAAAATTCCTCAGTCTGTCATGTTGTCCTCATCCCCCCCATGCCATCACCAGGAGAGGGACATTAATGAAGTCCCTGGGATCTAAAGGATGGCCACACTGACTGTGTTTATATCAAGGCATAATGTTATTGGCTGGCATTGAATAGCGGGGGTTGAAGGTTCAGGCCTGGGTCTTGGGATAACCAGCTTCCTGTGTGATATACATTGTGTTGTATACATTGAAGAGCTGTTTTAATGAGAATGTGTCTTAGACTTCCTTCAGACTATAGTCCATTTGCCAAAAAGCATTGACTTTTTTTCCCATGTGGCTACATATGTCTTTCTCAGGGTTATTCAGTAAATATGGATTTGCAGTAAATTAAAGGGGAACTGTCACTTCAAATAGACAAGGCAAAGCCACAGCAAACATTGCAAATGAAGAATAAGATAAATAGGAATATTGTTGTATTGCACTTCTTCCCTGTATGCTTTCTCTATGCTGACTGCCAGGTGCAACGGACAGCGCTTATAACAATGACTGACAGGGAGCTAAGATAGAGGCACCACTTGGCAGGATAAATATATGTGGTTTTCTATTTTTCACACCACAATACAGAGTCAAGTAAATATACAATAAAAATTTCTGGTACGTGACAGATCCCTTTTATAATCAAAATGGCAAACAGAGTAAAATAGCCAAATTGTAACTGCAGCTATTTCAGATCAGCTCATTTTTCTTTTCTGATATATATTTTTTTAATTAGGTACAATATTACTGTTTGTGACCCCTCTACTTAAAGGGATCCTATAGTGCCAGGAAAACAAACCCGTTTTCCTGGCACTATACGCTTTTGGAGAGCCACCTTCCCTTGGAAGTCCCCTACCTTGGCGCTGAAGGAGTTAAAACCCCTTCAGCCACTTACCTTAATCCAGCGCCCCGAGTGGAGCCGAATGCACATGTGCGGCCACAGGCGCACGCGTATTCAAACCCGCCCATAGGAAAGCATTACTCAATGTTTTCCTATTGGGATCTCAGTGAGGACGTCCAGCGTCAAAGAAGTGCGATTTACTTAGTGTAAATCGCGGGAGTGCTTCTAGTGGCTGTCTCTGAAACTGTGTTTTCAGCTGCAGGGTTAAAACTAGGGGGACCTGGCACCCAGACCACTTCATTGAGCTGAAGTGGTGTGGGTGCCTATAGTGGACATTTAAAATGACGCTAGAGGCAGCCAGACCATGTCCTTGCACCCCTGCTCCCCCCCCACCCCTCGGTTTAAACCTGCAGCAAAAAAACACGAACAGCTGATTTCATTGCAGGGTTATCTTCTGTTTCTTTGTTTAATGTAGATAGTTTAAAACAATTAGCTACAATTTCGTGTTTAGTGAATAATCCTGGGTGAAATCCAGCCTTGGTAGGCCATTTGTAATATTTTTGTTTTTCTGTAGGGTTAGTGGCAGGGACGTTTTAGCCGCGAGGCAAACAAGGCATTTGCCTTGGGCGGCATTTTCCAGGGGGCGGGAAAAACGCCGCCCCCAAATGCCCAGGGCAAATGCCTTGTTAGCCTTGCGGCTGACTGACATGCTGGGCTGGGCTGGGTGGGCGGCTGGCGAGGGAGCTCTTCCTCTGAGCTGTCTGCTCAGCTCCCTCGCGCGCCGCAGAGTGAGGCTGGGAGCCGGAATATGACGTCATATATGACGAGTGTGTGTCTATCTGACTGTGTGTCTGTTAGTGTATGTCTGTGTGTCTGTTAGTGTGAGTGTGTGTGTCAGTGAGTGTGTGTCTGCTAGTGTGTGTTTGCCTGTGAGTGTGTGTGTGTCTGCCTGCTAGTGAGTGAGTGTGTGTCTGTTAGAGTGAGTCTGTTAGGCTGAGTGTTGCTGACTGACTGTGTGTGTGTGTGTCTGTGAGCTAGTGTGTGTTTCTGTTGGCTAGTGTGTGTTTCTGTTGGCTAGTGTATGCGTATCTGTCAGTGAATATGTGTGTGTGTGTGTGTGTGTGTGTGTGTATTTAGAAGGCGGGGGAGGTTTAGGTGGGGTTGGCGCCTGAGTTTTGTCCTGCCTAGGGCAGCACAAAACCAGGAAACACCACTTGTTAGTGGATGTACATAGAATTTAGAGCTATGTTTAATCTTCCAAGAGTCATGGAATGGGTGTCATACACATGAAGTATATAAAAACCTGAGTTATTTTCAGTAATCATTATAATAGTAGCCAAAGCATGCTCCTGGGTATGTCAAGTCCTGTCTGATATGTATCACAGTGTCAACACCAACGTCTAATCTTCAGATTAATAAATCAGATTTATTCATTCTTCTGACAGTTTTTTACAGCAGAAAATAGTTTTGTTTCACTTCTTATTTTTCTGTCGCAATTTGTTGGTGAAATGTATCATTTTGTTATTGTGTTTATAAAGGTATGGAATTGTGTTCGCTGCTAAACATTATCAGTGTTTAATAGTACTTACATAGATGTTTTTAGAACTCTCTAATTATTTTTAGACATGGTGATGACCTGGAATCCTAGGAGGGTCACATTTTATCTTAACAATGTGTCTCTCTGACTCTTGAATTTGCTTCTGCGTGATATAAATGGCTCTCTTTAATTCCTCACACCTGGCATGTACTGATTAGCATTCTCTCCATGGTATCCAGTATTTGGTGCCATAAGATCCATCAAGTGGATCCTTTCATTTATGCCTTTTTTTTTAATTTGATCTAAAAGAATGAACCTCCCTTTACTGAACATATTGTATAACAAACCGATTAATAGTTAAAGGATTACTCTAACCCTTTGGAGCGGCCCTATTGGGCACTATGGAGGAGAGCTAAGCTTCCAGCACTAAATTCTATGCCCCCTCCTGACGTTAATGGGACCGCTTTTTTTACTTTCTTCGTAGCTCAACATCCTTAGAGCATGTACCTCCCAACTCCCATCAACAGTCTTCCTTTAATGAGGACAATGGAGTTGCTTGGAACAGTAACTCCCATCACTCTTAGCTGTATAAATAATCAATGTTACCAACATCTAAAGTGCAGGTATATGCTCCAATCAACCAATTTTTATGTCTTAAAGGGACACAACACTGACCACATCTATTTTTTTCTTTTTTTTTTTTAAATCGTTTAGTAGATGTACTCTCAATACAAACATGCATGTATTTCATTAAGCACTATTTCATTTGCGGGTATATTTAAAAACAGCTTGCAAAGCTGCAGCTTCCTTGTCTTCAACCTTTACCAGTCCTCATGTCCTAACCCCACCCAGACATTTTATGGCTGTCCAATCACAGACTTCCCAATGCAGCTTAATGAGAGGTGCTTGCAAGGCAGGTGCTCTGAGCTATTGCCTGTCTCTAGAGACTAGTTCCACTGAGCTAAACTACCAGTAAAAAACAGAACCAGTTGTTTGTCAGCCAGTCTAATTTATAAAAGTGCCAATATCTGTTGAAATCTGCACATTCTTAGCACATAAGGCAAGCAACCTTAACTATTGTATTCAAAATGGTGTTCTGATAGAACACGGCACCATTCTAACATGGCCAAGCAGATCCTTGGTTATATACCAAACCTCATCTTATCTTCATGTGGAAGAAGACACACAATACCGCTCTAAAAAAAAAAAGAAGAAGAAAAAAAGTGAAATTGAATCTGGTTTTCTTTAACTCTAGACTCCTCACCCCAAACATGACCCCGGTCCCCCTAAAATACATCGGAATACAAGATGTTTAAACTGCAATATATTCAGTTATATCATCTCCCTGACATAGCTCGAATAAAGTATAGAAGCTCATTCTGTAAAATGGTTTATTCCTAAGTGAATAAGTGGAAGGAAAGGAAACAAGTACTTTCCATTCCTCATGGGTTTAACTGACCCCACCAGGCAGCTGGAATAACATCTTCTCGTCCTCTCTACCTATTAGCACATAGATTAGACAGACTTCTGGATTGCATATTAAAAATTAAACCATTTTGACATTTGCCTTATGCATACTTCCCAACATTTCAAATGGACAAACATGGACCCTTAAATTATAGGGGTTTGAGTGGGGTTGTGGTCAGAGGTGGGGTTGTTCTTGAAAATATTAGCTGACTTACTAATAACAATTTATGCAACTAAAATATATCTGAACAATGTATCTGATTTACACAGACTGATTTCTAAACACATTTATTTTTGCGTAAAGACACATTACTGTGAGTGTTATTGCTGTGGAGCTCTATTACATATGAAGACACACCGGCAATATGGCATTGGGGAGCAGTGGGACACTATAGGGTTATGAATAGTTTTCATTTAAGCTAAAGTGATTTTGGTGCCTGAAGTGTCCCTTTAAGACTATTCCCAATCTATAACACACCCCATTAAAGTTTCTATTAGAATAGAATTCATGAGACTAACAGTGTAATGCAGAACATGCCATCACAGAACTACAGGGTTAAAACCAAATGAGAAGGAATGTTTTCATCTAGTCCAGAGTATAAGTAAGTAACTTTTTAAGGAGGAATTTGATTGAAGATCTGGACATTTTCTGAGGATAGCAGCTACATATTTCAAACAGCCAGATAATTGGCTCTGTGTTTATTAAATCATGTCATGTAAATATTATCTTGATGACTGTGGACAGAATGAGACAATCCTAATTTACAGATTGTGCCTCCCACAGGGTAACATTATCGCCTCTTTATTACAGTAAATGGTTTCCGCATACAATGCAGGGGGTAATGTCTCAGTAAGGAAGGGCTGTCAGGCGTTCATTTACTAAACAGTGTTTTTGGATGAGCTAACAAAGGATTTTTTATTCTAGCTCTGCTACTTTTTAATTAGATGGCAGGTCATGAGTTAGTAAATATACCCCTTTTCTTCAGAATTCACAAGTAAACAAGACATAGATGTTTATTCAGTTAATGTTTTAGGGTGAGAACAGTTGAGATTGAGATTATTATTATTAGTTTCAGTTCTGTAGCAGCAAATGGAGAATAGGGGAAAAAAGCAATGCAAAGGGGTTTATATGCTAAACGGCGAGCTGTGGTTATTCTACAAAATGTAGACTAACATTTTACATTGGGGAGGAGAAGAACAAATCTACATTCTATCATATTTGGAAACGTTTCCCAGTTCATCTATAACTGCAATGTTGGAACGTTGCCTGTCAGATCATGTCAATTTGCTGTTTAGCAAATAGATCCCACAGCGAGTATGCTGCAGTTCTCATAATCACTGCAATAATGAAAATATAATTTCTTAGAGCATCTGGGTAGGTTTAATGGGCTTGTTATTCTTGGCAGTAGGATTGTATTTCGCTGCAGAATTAATGGCAAGTAAAAGCATGCTGGGTAAATTAGCTATCTAAATCAAATAACATCTCCAGAAGACACAAATCCATAGGAATTGTTTTCTCAACAAGGGGTAAATGATGGAGTATTTTATTTCTCCATTTTAGATCATCTCTGAGTATAAATGCTGGGTATTTAGTATATAGGGCTGTAAGTCCGCTCAATAATTTTTTCTTAGATATAGATCACTTTGTCACAACGATGGACCAGGCAAAGTAGATGCTGCCCCGTAGATTCTAACAGGCTTATCATATTAGTTACCTGACTCAGGCAAAATAAACAAACATGCATACAGCAAAAGGCCATCTCCACCGACCCCTCTGCTGTGGACTAGAATTCGTATTATCCTTTAAAAGGGTGAACTTCAAGGGTAGGCATTACGTAGCAGTGCATGTGGATTGCAACTCCCATCATCCTCATTAAGTTTCAAGTACACCAGGGATGCCTAATCTTGTCTTTTCTGCTATTGCTGAACTTTGATTTTCGAAATCCACTGCCAGTCATTCGCCTCAGTTGGTTATCCCTGAACTAGAGAGAATTAAGGGAGGTGCAGTCAAACAACAATTGCAGGGCCAAGTTTGCAGAGCTGTATGATGAGCAGTAACAATAAGCCTGCATGTCTGTCAATCAATGAGTTAAATAAATAAAAGACAGTGACACTAACAATTAGAAGTCCTATAACAAACTCCTTTTTTTTTCTACCTCACCCCCAACATAAAATATTGTATATCAACCTTCTGACACTAAACCTGATTTGTCAGCTGTGTTTACTCTGAGAATGTAATTGAACACTGTAGCGTTAGCAACACAAATGTGTATTCCTAACGCTATAGTGCCCCAGTCACTGTTTAGGTAAATGGGCCACCATGGAAACTTGCATGTATTTAAATATTTAATTATGCATTTTTTCATTGCATATATATAAACTGCTTGCAAAACCTGCAAATCTGCTGCCTTTGCAAGTCCTTCCTTTCTAACCCTGCCTAGACTTTCTGTAGTTGTCCAATCACAGACTTCCCAATGCAGCTCAATGAGAAGTCTTTGCAAGGCAGTTCCTCTGGGCAATTTCTGCCTCTTGAGCTCATCTCCCCAGAGCTAACCAAACCAAGAAGTAACAGGACCAGTTGTGTGCTTAAAAGCCAGGAGGGTTAAACCAGGTGAATTTATAAAAGTGTCAATGTTTACTAAAATCTACACTTTTTGGAAAAGGAAAAAAGAGAACAGCAAGCTAAAGTGCTATAGAGCACTAAAAAAGCAGAGGAAATGTTTTTTTTTACACTAAGAACTATACAGATGTGGAATTCTCTGCCTAAAGAGGTTGTCTTATTATATTATTTAGATACACTTAAAAAAGCTTGAATACTTTTTTCCACGAACAGAATATTCAAGGATATAATTGATATGTATGTACACAGGTTTTTAAATCAAGTTGAAATCTGATTGCCATTATCGAGTCAAGAAGGAATGTGTTTCCCTTTTTGTAGCGTTATTGGAAAGACTACAATTGGGTTTATTTGCCGCCTTTGCATCAACAGCATAAAAAATGGGCTTCATAATTGAACTTGATAGACTTTTTAGTCTTTTTTCAACCTAGACAACTATGAAATTGATGATCTCAGCCAATCCAGTGCTTTACCATAGGAAAGCACTGGGAGGCTAGTGCACATGCACCACAAAACACTATGCTGCACCAGTCAGATGGTATCAGATGCTATTTCATTGGTTGTGCCTCTCAGACAGACACCAGAAGCATTTAAACCCTGCAGCGGAAAACATTGCCATTCTATAAAACAGAAATGTATTCAGCTGCAGGGTTGAAATGGGGAGGACATGGCACCAATACCACCTCATTGTCGAAAATCTACAGATAAATGCTTTTATTTGAAAAGCAGTTTCAAATGTGTCGAAATGAAGAGTGAAGTCAGAAACACGATGCCTGTGTGTTCATTTGCCTATCCAGCAAAGGATTCTGGGATAATTGTGGTCACATGGTTTCTTGAAATTGTTGTGCACAAGATGGACTTTCCAAAGGTCTCATTTGAAACATAATGATCCATCAGTGAGAGAGGAGTGCCATCATGTTTGCTCACTACATCTTTTGTAACATATATGGAAATAGGATTCCTGTCCAAGAATCAGATGCTAAAGGATAGACATCATTGAATATACATACCATTAGCCTTTTGTACTCCCGGTATACAAACTGCCCTTACAGAGTTAGTCACTAAAATGTATTTGTGGAGAACTTAAAGTGAATTCACATTTAGGACAAAATAGCAGAATTTGAAAGACTCTCCAAAATGTTGAATTCATTTAAATTCTCACGTTTCATACGTTGGTGAATATCCCTGACAAAATACTGGCTGAATAGTAATTTGATTTTTAACATTTGCCTTTAACAGGGAAAAAACTCCAATTGAACGGGCAATCATGAATAAAGATGCAGAAACAATTAGTAAGATGATAAAATCAGGACAAAAATTAAATGAACCCAACAAAGATGGATGGCTACCATTACATGATGCAGCATATTATGGATCTCTGGAAGTTATGAAAATTCTGCTTCAAGGTTGGTATCGTTTAATTTAATTAAAACAATTTAATTGTGTGGAAATTATCCAGGATATTTCATAGAAACATAGACGGCAGATAAGAACCATTTGCCCCATCTAGTCTGTCCAATTTTCTGAATAGTTTCATTAGCCCCTGGCCTTATTTTATAGTTAGGATAGCCTTATGCCTATCCCATGCATGCTTAGACTCCTTTATTGTGTTAACCGCTACCACTTCAGCTGGAAGGCTATTCCATGCATCCACTACAATCTCAGTAAAGTAACGCTTCCTGATATTATTTTTAAACCTTTGCCCCTTTAATTTAAGACTATGTCCTCTTGTTGTGTTAGTTTTTCTTCTTTTTAATATAGAATTTTGAATGCTAGGCAAAAATAGATGAATTGGAAATATAGGGGTTATTTACTACACTTCAAAAAAAAATTTTTTTTTTTGAACCGTCAGTCAGGGCATTAATTTAAGCCAGAGAGCAGAATTTTAAAATGTTATTTAGGGGACGGGGCCTGACAGCCAAAATGGCCGGACGTGCTCTCTAAGAGCTCTTACACCGGAGGGCACAAAAACGACAATCCTGGCAAGCCCAATCAAGCCAACAGCCCACTGTACCCAGAAAACCATATAGAACCACACGAGTAACAAAACGGTACCGGTCATCCACCACAGCGACACACGAGCACATTGTCTCTGCGTGGCTATTTCAATAATCCATAACACTTGGAGGTTTTTTGTTTTTGTTTTTTACAAATTCTCCTTTTCCCTTAAATAATATAATTTTAGGGTAATTTGTGATTGTAATTGTGATTCTTTCTTAAATATAGTAATAAAAATAAATACACAGAACGTGTCCTAAATCAGAAAATGCAATATTTATCCATTCTTAAATCCTATTACTGTACTAACAGATGAAACTGTGTTACAGCATACCCTAACAGTATTGATCAGCGCACTCTTCAGGAAGAGACAGCAACATTAATTTCAACTACAAAAGGACATATAGACTGCTTACTGTTCATGCTGCAGTCTGGTGCTGATCCAGATATAGCCAACAAAAACAAGGAAACTCCAATTTATAAAGGTAATCTAGGAAGACTTGCTAAATGGTAATATTGTCAAATGAAAAAATATATATTTAGTAATGTTATAGAGAAAAAGGCTCACCACTCAAATTCCTATTATGTTCAATCTTATGCCAGTTTCTTTATCCCACAGCCTGTGAAACAAAAAATGTAGAAGCACTGAAGTTACTAATACAATACCATGCTGATGTAAATCATCGATGTAACCGTGGACTGGTGGCACTACATGAAGCTGTGTCAAGAAATGACCTGGAAATCATTTCTATCCTGGAGAAGAGTGGGGCCAAGGTTGATGCGAAGAATATTTATGGCATCACCCCTCTCTTTACTGCAGCACAGATCGGAAAAGTAGATTTATTACGATATCTCACTAAATGTGGTATGTACTCATTTTTATTATTTAAGAGACACTACCATTATTAGAGTGATCTTCTTACTTTATGTACACAAAATTTTAACCCAGCTTTCATTGATTGTCAATTCATTGCAGTGCACTTTGATTTGAAAACTCTAGATTAAACCTCAAAGGTGAGAGAGATCTAAAAGTTTTAGGATCTGTTAGAATTTGTTATAAAATGGCATAATGACTTATGGAAAGAACCCTCTGACTTTATTGGTTTCCATGGTGATTGCCCCATCATTCCTATGTATTCAACAGTACTGTATAACAGAAAATAGGATATGTTCTGCACAGAACACTCGTGACCACTCTCTACATTGTAAAGGGGTTCTGTCACTCACAAGCTTATCATAAAGATTGACTGTTTTCATATTTGTTTGAACACAAGTGCAGTCAAAAGATATACAGGAGAAGAAGTAGGGACTGCCTTGCCTCACCTAGGTGCCAATTTTCTGTCACATCCTGCTATTTCTGTCATCTGTCACTTGAGACAGCTGATGACCACAACAGGCATCATATCGCATAATAAGCAATAAATGCCTATGGCGCCATTTTGTACCCTGGCTTATGTTTGAGAGCACAATAGTGATAATGGCTTCTGGCAGGTCAGTGCAAAGATGGCAGCTCCAAGGAGGCATAACTTATGGTAATTTTATCTCCCTAATGACCATCATCTTACAAGCAGAAATGTCACCTTGTGGGGGTCTCTGTACAAACTGCAATGACCCCCATAAGCAATAGTGACACTTGAGAGCAAGGCAGACGATACCGATTTTAGCCTAAAAATAGACACCTTGTGTGTATATATACGGAGTAAAGCAGGCTGACTGTTTACATATATATACCTGCCAAACTTTCCTGTCCAACTTTTGGGGACGGAGGCCATTGGGCAGGGAAGAGAGCAAGCTGCACAGAGTACTGTGCAAGGGACCCCTATAGATGATGATCAGGCTGACTGACAGTCAGCCCCCTCAAGCAGACCATGCGCAGAGTGTTGCTGAAGCCTTCTGTGTATAGCCCAAGTGCCCAGTCCAGTCCTGCCTTTTGAAATTTTCAGGCAGATTTTAAAATATCATTCACGTCCCTGGGACTGATATTTGCTGAGACAGGATCCCAAAATGAAGGACTGTCCTAGCAAGTTTGTGACTGTTGGCATATATAAATACAACTCCCCCAAACATCACAGGACAGGGGTGGGAAGACCAGTGACGCAAATTAGGTCTGCATATAATGAGTGAAGCAGACTGACTGTTTTTATTATTTATTTTGCTGTATTCACTAGTGATAGCTTTTGAAAGAAGTTATCCTTTATTTCAGGAGCAGATATTAACACACAGGCTAATGATGACGCAACAGCTCTATTTGAAGCCAGTAAGAATGGCCATGACGAAGCTGTGGAGTTTCTCCTGTCACAAGGAGCAGATGCCAACAAGCAAAACAAACATGGATTTTTACCAATTCACATTGCAGCCAAAAAACGAGATAACACAGAGTATGTATCTCTTTATCCTTCAGTTTTGTAAGAGAATGATATGGGATTTTAGCTCGCTGAGCCTGGTCTCACCTTTATACATGTTAATGGTAGGGAAGTTCTGGAATGCTGGGGAAAAGTTCTGATTCACTTATAGAACTCTGTACTACAATTTTTATTTACATAGAACGCCCACTGTGCATGATTTTACTTTACAGATGCATTGAGCGAAATCTCATAGATGCTTTGCATCAGAATCTGAGTTTACAGGCAAACTCCAAATGTTCTCACTGTGATAAATAAATGGTTTAAACTGGCAGGTCTCTAAAAGGTGCGAATAATGAGTAATGCTTCTGGCACTCATAACATGAACAGCATCCACCATCCTCCAGGCTTGTGGGGGTCTTGAATCATAAGTTAGGAATGCCAGCACATAACATGCATATTATGTGCACATATACAGTACTCATACAATTCCCAAGCAGGGCTCTTACATGTCAAAGTCTATGACCAACTTTGGCATTTACATACAGTATACCGGCTGTAGCTCTGGCAGCAATTTTATTGTTTCCATAACATCTCAGAATAAAAAAAGGTAATCCTTAACCCCTTAAGGACGGAGCCAAATGTACACATTGTGAACAAAACAAAATGTAAACAAAACCTGGCATTTGCGCTACATGTCTGTCCAACCGTAATACACCTCTTTCATAGTAAATGCACCCACCCTTATTATATATATCATTTTATTCAGGGGAAACAGGGCTTTCATTTAATATCAAATATTTAGCTATGAAACATAATTTAATATGAAAAAAATGGGAGAAAATACGATTTTTTTAGATTTTTTTAGTTCTAAATTGCATTTTAAAGGTCAGTGTCATAATACTGTTTGATTTTACTGCAATAAAATACACATATTTGTATTTAGTAAAGTCTCACGTGTAAGACAGTACCCCCTATGTACAGGTTTTATGACGTTTTGGGAAGTTACAGGGTCAAATATAGCACGTTACATTTGAAATTGAAATTCGCCAGATTGGTTACGTTGCCTTTGAGACTGTATAGTAGCCCAGGAATGAAATTTACACCATAATGGCATACCATTTGCAATAGTAGACAACCCAAGGTATTGCAAATGGGGTATGTCCAGTCTTTTTTAGTAGCCATTTGGTCACAAACACTGGCCAAAGTTAGCGTTAGTATTTGTTTGTGTGTAAAAAATGCAAAAAACGCCAATTTTGGCCAGTGTTTGTGACTAAGTGGCTACTAAAAAAGACTGGACATACCCTGTTTGCAATACCTTGGGTTGTCTACCATTGCAAATGGTATGCCATCATAGGGGTAATTTTCATTCTTGGGCTACCATAGGGTCTCAAAGGCACCGTAACCAATCTGGCTAATTTTAATGTGAAAAAAATGAAACGCAAGCCTTATATTTGACGCTGTAACTTTTGAAAACACCATAAAACCTGTACATGATGGGTACTGTTGTACTCGGGAGACTTCGCTGAACACAAATATTTGTGTTTCAAAACAGTAAAAAGTATCACAGCAATAATATTGTCCGTGTAATGCTGTTTGTGCGTGAAAAATGCAAAAAACGTCACTTTTACTGGCGATATCATCGCTGTAATACATTTTACTGTTTTGAAACACTAATATTTGTGTTCAGCGAAGTCTCCCGAGTAGAACAGTACCCCCCATGTACAGGTTTTATGGTGTCTCGGAAAGTTATAGGGTTAAATATAGTTGTAGCAAATTAAATTCCCTTTACTTTCGGCATGGGTTGTCAGGCAGGTCCTGCTAATTGTAATTAATTATGATACCTAATTATGTAAAAATATTACATAAATATATATGTAGAATTAATATATGTATGTATATATATATACGTATGTGTATATATATGTATATATCTATATAATTTTTTTTAAATATTTTTATTTATATATAGGTATATATATAGTGATATATACGTATATATTTATGTATATAGATATATATATTATTTCGCTCTACGTGTATTTTGATATATATATATATATTAATTTCACAAAACAGTTAGAACGAAATAACACACATCTATATATTTTTTAATTATTTATTTTTAATTATTTTTTTAATTTTATTTTTAACGTATTTACATTTTTATTTTTTTTATATTATATATAAATATATATATAACAATAATTATATATATATTTAATCAGTATCAGTCTACGTGTAATTTGATATTAATATATATATATAATTATATATATATTAATAGTAAAATACACCTAGACGGTGTATGTGTGTGTATGTATATGTGTATATATATACTTAGATCATATATATAATATATATATATGATCTAAGTATATATAATAATTTTTTTTTACACCATTAACTTATTTTACTTTTATTTTCAGCCAGCAGGGGGACCACCTGTCATTACAGGCAGCCCCCCTGCCGGCAATACAGAAGCCAGCTATACCCAGCCATGTGATTGTGGGGTCCTCGCTAGGACCCCACTCTCACATGGCCGGGGGGCTTCAACGAGGACGGATGTGCCGCGGGGGGCTCCCTGGGAGTCCCCCCAACCGCGATCGCCGGCGTGGGACCGCCGGCGACCGGGTAAGTTAACAAAAACCGGAGGGCGTACAATTACGCCCGGCGGCGTTTAGAGCCGCCTATTAGAGGGCGTAATTGTACGTCCTCCGGTTTTAAGGGGTTAAGTAATGAAACCAAGAATGTCTTACACTCCTGAGAATCACAGGAAAATAAAACCTTCCAAATTTTGAAACAGAGAGGAAAAGTTTAATTATGATGAGAGCAGAGGATAATATTACCAACATGCGGTAGACAGAGACGGCTCTTTAATTAGGCTATTTAGTAAGGCCTTGCGCTGATGGTGGCCTCACGGACGCCTAAATCACCTTAAGGCAGTGTGACATGTCGGGTCCTCGGTCAGAGACCGAGGGCCCAACACAGGAGGGGGCTGGTGGCTTTCCTTTTATGCTTTTGGGTGAGAGGCCCCTCCACACCACCTGCCCGGGAGAGAGCCAGCTTCCAGTCTGCAGCTCTGCACCTGGCGGAGCTGCAGACCGGATAGGGAGCCCACCAGGAATACAGCCTGCCCACTGGACCACCAGGGGTTCAGCCTGCCCAGAGGAACACCAGATAATCAGTTTATTATAAAGGCATTTATAACCCCCTGCCCTGTCCGTCTCAGTTCCCCCCCCAACCCCCTACCCTGTCACTGCCCACTTACCACCCTCTGCCCCAGCTCCCCTACCACCCTCTGCCCCTCCACCACCCCTACCCTGTCACTGCCCCCCTACCACCCTCTTGTCCTGTTTTTAACTATATTTTAAGGCCATTAGCCTTAAATTTGCAATTCCCTGGTGAATTTAGGGTTATTCACTAAAGTGAGAATTCAAGGTGAATTTCAAATTTAAGGTCAAAATAGCTGAACTGGAAGAAATCTCTAAGTCAATTATGGTCCCAGCTACTCTGGCCTTAAATTTGAATTCTCACCTTAGTGAATAAGCATCATAGTATAATTCTGACTAAATACAGGCAAATATAAAACAAAGAAAAAAAATCAAATATAACTTAACTTTGTGAACCAACACCTTCCCAAGGCAACCCTTACCAGATGGGTACCTGACAAATAGATGTATAAAGTATAGCAGAGTGGGATACAGCTGTAAACCTAAAAAACTATAAAAAAACAAAATAACATAGTGTAGTATCCTTATTAAATTGTGTATGAGACGCTGAGATAATACACTCACAGAATGTAGAACTAATAGTCGCCTGTAGGGTGCTTTTCTAAAAAGAAAACATATACATAGCTCATGCCCCTAAATATTTGTATTTAGATAGTTGTCAATTAAACATATGTAATTGTGGGTCAAATTAGCAAGTGCCGTCGGTAACAGAATGATAACCATTTTCTGACTTTCATCCAGAATCGAGCAGCAGTTTTTGCAGTGATCAGATTCAAAATGTCATATGTCATTTTATTGCCAGTAGTGCATATGAACTCAAATACTGACCTAAAACCATAGTAAAAAAAAAAGGGAATTGTGGGCACACCTGGAACATGCTGCCTTAGAAACCAACATTTATACAAAATGCAGATTAAGGCACTGCACACACGTAGATAGTGTATTTAATAGGATATTAAAGTGTATATTTAATGTGATAAATAAAAACACAATTAAAAACATGCATTTTTTTGAATTGTGTTTATCACATTCATTTAGCATTATTTATATATATTAAAAGGCTTGGCCTGTGGTTTCCCTATAAAAGGGCTGCCAATCCACTCCCACATTACCGTAATGGTCTGGCGAGTCTGAAACGTTACTTCCTGTTCAGACCGCCATCTTGGATTCCTCTTACCTGTTTCCTCATGGTCTCGTGGTCCGGGCTCTCCAGGGCTCTTTTCCCGCCGCCACCGTCGTCCGCACAGCTTCCCCGGTACTGCTGCCGCCAAAAAACGTAAGTTGGGCCCGCCGTAAAGCAAACCGCTTCGTATTCACGGCTTACACGGCGGAGCCCCATTCGCATTCAACCGCATTCGGTACTTTTTCGTCTAAATACAGTTCGCCACTAAGCTATGTAATTCATGTTTTTAGCATTCATACGAACGCTGCATTCGGCCAGATACTTAGGATTTCTACCAAACAAAGGTAGTCATTATATACTGTCATCACATTCGACATAAATTCTCACTAATTCAAGATCCTGCATCCACTTCTTAGGTGGAATCTTGCCCCCTACCGGTCAATAAAGATTTAGCACCATAAAAAAAAAAAAAAAACTTTTAAATTATGCTACACTTAATTCAATCCTGATTTCTGACATCTTCCAACAGGTTTCCTTACCAGAATTCATATTAAAATTTGGGGACCCAGAGATCGGTATCACTTATACTTTATAGGTTGGTAACATTGTCATATGATTCATATAAAGGACCATATAAACATATGATTTTAGGTAAAATTTATAATTTACTCTCCTAGGTTTAATCATTGGAACGGTAGCTTTTACAAGCAAGGAGCCGGTTTCTTTTGGTTATATCTCCTCCGCAG